AACCGGTAGGGGACTAAAAAAGAAAAAAAATGCTTTGCTCTTGGCTTTGAACTCATTCTTTACTGAAACTCTGTGTTCTCACTGAAAAGGAACAGTCTTTCAGATAGGAGAATTTGGATTAAGCATTTAAAACTTTAAATTTCATTTTTATTAGATGTTCGCTTATTCTTAGCGGGACCTCTGAATTTTACCTTTGTTTTGCAAGCTGTTATCGCAGCAGTAGCAGCAGCAGTACCAGAAGCAGCAACAGGCACAACAACAGCAACAACACGAATACGCAATTGTAATACATGACGTTAACTTTACAGATTATTTTAGGTGGGGGTCAATATTTTATAGATAAAATAGGTGGTTTTATTTTATATTAAGGGGGTCATTTTTTGTAAAAAGGGGGTCATTTTTTATATAAAAAAATGACGGGGTCATTATTTAGGGGGTCATTAACTCCTTAAATTTTGTGGGAAGGGGGGGATATTGCTGAGAAACTGTTCAAAACCAAATGTAAAGGATCGATTGTGCAAAAAAGGGATTAAAAAAAGGGATTTGTAAATGTTTAGTCATAAAGAAAAAGGGTTTAAAATTTTATATAGAAAAACATAAAAAAAATTTGCCGAATGGCTGATACCCTCCCCGTGAAATTGGGGGCCCATCTTATTTTGGGTAAGCAGTAGGTTTTCCCCCCTTTTAATCTTTAAAAAATTTTTAAAAATTTAAAAATAACTTTTGCCGATTTCTTTGTTGGTTTTACTTCGGTTAAAATTTAACTTTTTTTTTAAAATGATAAACATTCAAATCCCTAAGAAATAACTTTTGCTTGCATTTCCCGTTGTGCCGTTATGACAGACAGTGTATCTCTTTCCCCGACTTCAATCTCAAATAAAACACTGTGTGTCGGGCCCAAAATTTCTTGGAGTTCTAAACATTTCCCCCCTTTAATCCTTCACTGGGGTATACTTGTGTAGGCAGGTTTTGCTCTTACTTGATTTTGCCCCTTTGCATTTTTTCGGTTTCCCCAAACTTTTATTGATTTTTCCCCTTTTGAAAAACCCTTTCCCTTTACAAAAATTTTTATATATCTGCCCCTAAGCCCGGGGGTGCGAAAATCCTTTGTTGTAGGGGGTGTTTTGTTAAAAAGCCCGGCAGTTTCGTTATTAATGGTATTCTTTTGTATGTTTCTGGAAGATGGTGTCAATACAGGCCCTTTTGAAAAGAAGATGGTTGCGGGTTGACAATTTTTTTAATTTTTTGGCGAGGAAGCTGCCATTTTTTCTGTTTTTTACTTGTAAATAAAGGGGAGTCGGCAAAAACCCCCCCCAAAGTAAAAAAGAATGGTGGGAACCCTTTGTTCTTTACAATTCTGTAAGCATTTTTTCAATTTTTTCATGGGCCCTTTTAAAAAAAAAAAAAGATCTTTCGTTTTTTTGGGCCTTTAAACTTTCCCCCCGCGCGAGAAGATATAAAATTTTTGTCAAATTCGCTTTTTGGGTTTTTTTTGGGTGTTTTTTGATTTCGGGTTTAAAATTTTAAAAGGAAAAATTTACAGATGCTTCCCCGGGGGCCTTTGACTTTTTTCCTTTTTTGTTTAAAAATTTTATCTTTTTTAAAAAATCTTTTTTGGCAGTGGGTTTGAGATCATTTTTTCCGTCCCTACCGTTTCCGAAAAGAGCCCTTTTATTTTTTCGTGTAGCCCCCAGGTTCCCCCGTAACCCGATGCAGTTCACGCAATTTTCCACCGTGTAATACCTTGTGTGTCGCAATGTCAGCTGTTCCACCTATTGCAATATATAGAAACAAACACAAATATCATTTCCCGATTTTTGACCAGTTGAAATGCAGTTTAAAAATAGAGAATGACTCAACTACAGTTCTTCGCCTCTTTCTATCTTCAGTAATGTTTAATAATCAGTGTGTTTTTTTTTTCAGACAGAAATTAGGTAAAATATTGGTATCCAACTTTTTTCGTTAAAAATAAATTTACCTCCTAAATCAGCAACAATGTATGTGTGATCCACCGGAAACGGATGTAATTCGACAATTCCGCCAGCTTGAACATTTCTCACCGTACAATTTGCCTGACAGTAAACACTAGCTGCTTCCGGTTCCAAAACAAGACAGCAAAGCGAACAATTATATATGCCGCCTATTAAACAAAAACACACATCATTATTTTCTACGTTTTTTTTTTGTTTTTTTTTTTTTTTTCTTTTTTAAAGGTCAATTTTGTATTTTAATGCATCTGCTTTGTTTACAATTAGACCACGTCGGCCATTATTGATAACCTATTGTCGAGTTGGTTCATGTTATCGGAATACTACCCCCCTAGATATAAACATTGCAGCGTCCCAACAAAAAATGTACTGAAAAATTTCACTGATAGGTATATAATTCTATATATTGTAACTGACTTTTTATTTGATTTCCTTTCAAATACACACGTGTAGTCTAAAATATATAAGTGTAGTCTATAGCCAGACAAGCCAAAGCCCGGGCCCTCTTCGCGGTCACGGCATTTGACTTCTCTGTAATATTAAGGCAATCAGGATGAATACTCTTAGCTTGCTAACATAAAGGATTACCCTATTTGCTGCTTCCCTCATAAATTGCTTTGCTGGTTCCGACCAGATGGGAGGGACAGTTTGAAAACCCCGCTGAAAGTCGTCCTTTAAAAACCCCAAAAAGTTTCCCTTTTCGTCTTCCCTCATTTTTTTCATTTTATTCAAATTTACTAGAAAAACCTTTTATTGAGCCATCTTTTTTTTTCGGGTATTTTCAATAAGCGTTTCCCGATCCAAAATTTTTACAAAACAAAAATTTTAAAATAATTATTTTTGGGATGTTTTTTAAAGTTGTGTTTAAAAAAAAGTATTTTTTCCATTGAACTAAAGGGTTTTTTTAAAAAGGGCTCCCATAAGGTTGAAATTTAAAGTAAATTTCTTAATTTTGCTTTGAAATTTTTCAGTCCTTTTAAAAATTTAAAACAGAAAAACAAAAAAAAAGGTCATATGCAAATATATGCCCTTTATAAACTTAAATTAAGTTATTTTTTTATTTTCCGAGTATAAAAAAAAATTTCTTCCAACTTTTAAAATGTTATTCGAAAGTTTTTAGATACGGTGTCCCCCGACATGAAACCCCTGTTGACTTTTCCGTTTCTAAATGGTCTTTGGTTTGCATTAAAACATGGCCCTCCAAATATATTCAAGTTTTTGAAAGAGTTACCAAACACATGTCTTTTTTTTTACGCGAAAATTACGGGGATTGTCATCCTGGTTAAAAGTTACTGGTTCTTTTTATTTTTCACTTTTGTATGGGAATTTCAAAAATTGGGGGGCATTTAATTTGGGGGTTTAAAGGTGGGCGCAAGGGGGGGGGGCCCCTTCCCCCCAGGTTTTTGCCGGGGTTGGGGTCCCAGCCCTTACCCAAAATGGGGTTTTCCCCGGTACTGGTACCCGCCCAAAAAGGAAAAAAATGGGTGGAGGTCGGCAAAATGTCCCAAACCAGCTTTAAGGTAGGTTTTTGGGCCTTCAGGCAACGTTTTGTGCAAACCCGCAAATTATCTTCAAAAAGTCCCTTTTCTAAAGCTGCGGGGTCCCCTGTTTCCCCGAAAACGGTATGTAGAGGGCTACATAAAGGTAATGTTTATTCAAGAGGACCTTGCATACGTATTGCCTTGACGCGACGACATCGCCAGACCAGTTTGGAATGAACCATGGAGTTTACACGGTGGACCATTCAACACTGGAGACACGTTCTGTTCACTGATGTGTCCAGGTTCTGCCTAAACTTCACAGATAGGCCGCAAATATTGCTGAGCATGACCGCTACAGAGGTGGGTCAGTTTTGGTGTGAGGAGGCATAGGATGGACGAACCGACCGGATTGTGCTAAATAGAAGCACAGTGACAGGTCAGCGATACATATACGACATCTGAGATTGTATGCTGGAGCAGTCGGCGATCAGTTCATTCTAATGGACGATAATGCTCGCCCCCATAGGACCAGGGTGGTCCAGGACTACCTATCGAGGGATTCTATTGAGCGCATGAACTGGCCAGATCGCTCACCTGACTTAATTCCAATAGAACACATGTGGAATGAGCTGCAAGTTAGAATTTCAGCTCGTCAGCTGCAACTCAGAATCATCCAAGGGCTTGGAGCCATGTTGGTCAAAGAATGGGCAGCCATACCCGTAAAAACGATCAGAAACCTAAAAGGAAGTATGCCAAGCTGTCATTGATAGTCACGGGTCACATATATGGTATTAAGTCTAAAACTGTAAAAAGAAATCCAATTTAACAAATTTGGAAAACACGCTGCATGTTCTGAAATCTTCAAAGAGGGGGGATCATCCTCTTCTCTAGCATAAAATCAATGTAAAACTAATTTATAGGTTTAAATTCGTCCTTCAGCTGAATTGATAAAACAGTAAATCAACATTTAGAACCTTTCGTTAATAAAATTATCCCAAAACATATTCACACTCAAACATATGGTGCTTGAGTAAAAGTTGAGTAGTATATGTGCCAGCCCGCATGATCCAATCGGTTAGAGCGCGAGACTTGTGGGTTTGATTCCCGGGCTGGCCTATTAAAATTTCTAATCAGTCTTTCGGGTGAGACTTTAAATCGAAGTCCAGTGTTTGAATGTCTTAACACTTGGCATTCTGTAGGACAGGGAGAAGCTTCTTGAATTGGGACATCTGCAGGACATGGGCAACATCTCGCAAGTGTAAATAAACTCAAACAAACACCCACAAAAGATGTGCAAGCTGGCATGCCTCTACGCTAAGGGAAAAGACAAATTATTTCCAGATATATAGCAGGTTGGCTATGGGTTAGAAATTTCTATCGATACATGCTTTCGGCAAACTTTAACAGCATAATGCTAAGAAACACACAACTTTACAGTAATTATTGGTCACAAAAAAGTATTTATTTATTCATTCATTTTAATTATATGATTTATTGAAACTAAATAATTTCTTATATCATGTCATTTTCATAATGTGACTAACGCTTTTAGTCATGATAAAACATAAACATGCATACCGCTTGTTTGTATAACTCCATCTTGAAGTTCTGAAAATAGTACCATCCATTACTGTTATCCTCGTCAACTAAGTTACTGTACATTTCTTCAGCCTCAAAACCGAACGCTTTGAAATTACCATCCGGATCCAGAAGAACTGTTGTGGGTGCTTTACCCGTAGATAACATCATACCATCAGCGTACCATGCATTTGTGAATATCTTTAAAGGTTGGTGCCTAAAAATAATTTCGGTCCTTTGAATCGGTTCTGAACACAATTATATTATACATGCTTTTCGGTGGTTTATAGAAATTTAATTCATGATTTGCGTTGTTTTATTGTAATTCATTACATGCTTTTCGGTGGTACTTATATATCAGTGAAATAAAAAAAACCTGATATTTCACTGTTTCAAATAATGAAATTATAAATTTGATATTTTCACTGTTTCGAATTTAAGTCCGTTACAATACCAGCGTAGTCTACACAATACTGGAAACCAGCTTAATGACGTGATCTCGTAAATTGATGTCACGTTGTATTATTATTTGGCGGGTTTTTCATTTAGTATTAGGTTAACATGTCTTTCCATATAATAAAAAGAAAATTTGTTTTGTTTAGTGTAAGATCGAAATATATTTCACCTCGTGAATATCAAATATTCATATATCACTCGTGGCTATTCTTATTTTACCAATAAAAAATACACGGTCTTCTCTTTACCAAGATATATTTTCCTAATTGTTGACATTAAAACTTGTGTGGTATTCTTGTTGTGGTCAACTATACAAATGATAAAGAACTCACCTGAATGCAAAGGCATATCCAGAACATGCTGTTCCAAAGTCTATTGCTGCGGTAACAATCGAACCAGCCATGGGAGGTACTACACGTGGGACTGGGGCTGCCATGTCTGGAATAGAAAATAACACACCGTTATACTGATTCATGATAGTTTGCAATAACTTTGCATGTAGCACAGAAAATAGAAAGCACAAAGCATATTGAAACCACAATGTCATATTTTGTACGTCTTGTTGGGAAGCGCGCAGTAACAGACTATGAGATTGTTGTGCAATAACATCCTCTTAAACTTATATTTCACTATGAAGTATTATCTTTAGTGCCAGGGTCAACATAAATTCAAGGTCACGTTTAATATGATTGTCTTAAAAGGCTTGTCCCAAGGATTTTGTGCCCAAATACGATGATAGTCCATTCACTTATTGCAAAGTTACAGCCAATTATAGCACACAAATTACAAAAATTTGACCTTCTACGTCAAGGTCATGTTTCATTCAAGTCAAAATTGAGTTTGATGTCTTTTAAGACACTGTCCCTAACATCGTTGCGCTCAAGGGTGAGGACAATTTATTTATTTTTATATTTAAAAGTTATAGCCAATTAAAGCAAAAATCGAGCAATATTCAGTAATTTGACCTTCAAGGTCAAGTTCATTCACGAGTAAACGTCATAATCAATTTGGTCCAGTTCAACTAAGTATTGTTGTATCAAAATATGAAATCATTCGTAAATAACAAAGTATAGTCAAATGTCGCAACAAGAGTTGTCAGTAAAACAGGGTGGTCGACTATTCTCAGTGCAAAATACAGAAGTACAAAACGGGGCATAATATTTTTTATTTAAAAAAAGCTTGATACAGTGACCTCCTTTTGGACACAGGTTGAGATTAGATTATAATGGTGAACAAGTGTGCCAAGTTTCAAAGATGTATGACGATGGATTATCTGAGGTGTACCACATAAATTCTAAGTCGTAAAGGGGCATATTTCTGTCAAAATGATTGATAGTTACCTCCTCCTTTGTACACGTTGGGAACATGATGGCGAACAAGTGTGCTGAATTCAAAACAATATGTCAATGGACTTTGAAAACATTTGAGGTGGTACACAAACTTTAACATAAGAGGTTACGCGACACTGACGCCGGCGCTGGGGTACTTGGAAAGCTCTCCTTATTCTTCGAATTTTCGAGCTAAAAATCAAGCAAACACTTGACCTTGAAGGTCATTGTCATTAATGAGAATAGGGTTAGTTCAGTTCTGTCCAGTTGAAGGTCTTATCCAAATGGCAATAGCTCGAAATTCTTCTTAGAATAAGTCGAGATAAAAAAAAAATAATATTATCATGTCATCTTGCTATCTATGATCTCCAAAGGCAACATGCCAAAAATGTTCATAGTAGTTTAGAATTATACAAATATCACATATATGCATTCCGTTAGACTTAAATAATGGACATTTTGATGGACCATTCAACCATTTCATAAAAGTACTTGATGTGTAGAGAGGGTCACAACAATTTCTAGTACTAAAGCCTATAAGCGTCTCAAAAGTAGTTAGTTAACATTTTATGAAATTAAGTATTTCGAATCATATTTCAACGTCAATAATAATTATGACATGTGCTGGGAGTGACAAATATACATTTTATTTGAATTTAAAGGCGTTTTGAGCCCGAAGTGTTTGTGAAAAAATGTTCAATCACAGGTTAAGATTTCAACTTTTTAACATTTATAAAAAAAATCAAAGCTTTTTTAAAAGAAAAATGAATTGTATTTCTACCCCAATATTTACCCATTTTTGTTAGGATTTTTATGCAGTCATAATTGGGATATTCTTTCTGTCGTGGGTTGTTCTAGTGTGCCTTAAATATGCAATGCGTATGAAGAAAATGTCGCTAAACGGACACCAAATACAGAGTTTTCACAAAATCTTACCATCAAATGATGCTTAACATTCAAACAAACTCTTATAGAAACAGTTATTGAGATTGGTCTCAACATAAAGGAATTGTTGGTGAAAAACCCAATCGAGCTCCAGATGTGTTGAAGAGATCCATAGATGATTAAGGAAACCATCTACAAAACTACGGATCACTTTCATAAAGTAATTGAATAGCCAATCTAAAGGAACAATTTAGTTCCGTAGCTTTGACTAAAAGAACATTTATTTTGTCCGTGTGTTTGGTAATTAAGTATCACTACCTCAATAGGCTTACTATCTGTTGCTAGCAATATAAATAAATATTAAAAATCTAAAATTACTTAGTGTATAGACATTTTGACTCAGAGCAAATACTACTGGTATGATATGTATTTTTCCACTGAGAAAACGTAACTTGGACAAGATTAAACAGCCTACAAAATGAAATGGGCCATTCTTTGTAAAGCTATTAATTCATAATATCTTCTCCCTAAATTATTTTTATTTACATGCGTATTTTAAGATTTCACTAGTGTATTTAATAGATTTTCACTCACAGGCACAAGTATTTTCTTATTGATTGTAATGTTGTGAATTGCAAGTTCTTCATAAAAATTGTCCTCAAAAGAAATATTCTGCTCTCGTGTCGAGTAAACAACCCAAAATCAATTCAATATTTGTATGACAATGGTAAAAGAAGAATCATTAACTTAAATTTATTAATACTTTTGGCAGCAACATAATCATAGGTGTCAATATAATAGACATTATACACGTACCGATACGATATACTTTTATAGTGACATGGGGGTGGGGGGCTGAAAAGAAGTAATGTGTTATTCTAGTCGACATTGTTTTTCCGTTTTAGTTTAATTTTTGTAAATGGTAATCACATAATATTTTACAAAATAAAGATACTTTATGGCGACAACAATCAATGTCAAATACTAATATTGTACTCAGGTTGGAATAATTCGAAATAATTTCAATGAAACAACCGATAAAGTCATTTTTACCTCCTCAAACCTCATCGTCGTCGAATATCTCGATTAAGACAGCATAAAAAATCCGGGACAAAAATGGGTAATTACAGAGGAAAGTAAGGAGGGTAGAATCACATTTCGATTTTTTTTTTAAAAAAGCTTTGAATTTTATATTAATGTTTTAAAAAATGTGAAAACTTACCCTGTGATTGACCTATTTTCTCCTTCACATTTGTATCAATTTTGAGATCCATAAGGAGTTCCACCCCCGTGTATTTCAACTTCATTAATAAATAAGTTATGGCCATTTGTAACAAAAATTCACTGATTTCACCTTTTATGTCAAGGTAAAAATAAGGTCTGTGTTAAGTTCAACAAAACCTTTTTTTAAAGTCTTGTCCCAATGATTGTTGTGTCCTTCAAGGTCAATGTCATTCATGAATGAACGTCATAATCAATTTGTCCAGTTAAAAATTGTCCTAAGTATTCTTGCATCCAAGTATGAAGCCAATCCATTCATAAATAACAAAGTTATAGCCAATTATAACAAAAATTCAAAAATTAACAAAAAATAAACATCTGACCTTGAATGTCTTTTTCAATGAGTCAATTTCAAGTCCAATCTGGTCTTCTTGAAGGTCTTGTACAAAGGGTTGTTTTTAAATATGAAGACTATCCATTTAGAAATATAAAAAATATGGCTAATGTTAAAGTTTCTCACGGCAACGGGAACGACTGTAGCAATAGCTCCAAATTCTTTTTCGAAAAAGTCGAGATATAATTATTATTAGACAAACATTCTTACAAAAATTAGAGCAAAACAGATTTGTTTTTATTTGTTCTAAGTTCAAGAAGGATATCTCATTAAATAGTGGACTTTTTATGACAACCATTTCGTGTATGTTTGAGGTTCGGATCTCCTTTGCAGTTGCAGTTGGGGGAGCTTTTGTCATCAAATGACTCGGCAATTCTCAGTCCATAAAGAAATGGTGATATACGTTCGTTGTAGGCCAGATATTAGTACTCGATGTGTAGAGGGACACATTAAAAGATACACATCTCTCTAGATAAAGTTAACCACTGGTATGAAACTTAAACTTTCAAAAAATTTTAAAAAAAAACAGTTTAAGCAATGGCACTTTGCGTGTTTCATACAGAATTGTCAGAATTTACTATTTTCATCATCCAATAACGTACTGTTTCTTAATGACATGCCGTGTATAAATGAATTATGAGGACAAAAAAGTTAACCATTTACCTATGGAATTTGTGTAATGTGTCTTGCATTTTGTGAAGAACAGTGCATTCCAATTAAGTTTAAGGGATGTCAAGATCAAAATACAAAAAAATGAGCAACCTACAGTGTAGACCTGAACCTTACTTACACTTGATAAGAATTTAACCAATTTGTCCAATAACTACTTTTTCATACAATATAACGCAAAGTTTGAGACAGATATTAATTAAAATTACATGTATATACATATATAATGATGAATACGTATTGTTTGTGGTAAACTATAATACAGATTTTATCTGTTTCAAATTTCATAAATACATTGTACAATGCCTTAGCGTTACTAATTATGGAGTACAATGAATGTCAAAATTGAATGTCATTTTATTATACTACATTTTTGGAGTGTTCGTTACTGTTTTAAATTATAGTTTTTATATAGTTGAACAGGTATTTCATCTTGAAGAATGACAAGATAACTACGCGTCTGTTATAAGGAATCTTTTTTACAGAAGATAGAATCCGCATTCCAGATATCACAGTCCGTGAATTAAAAACCTAACAAGAGTCACCGCCGGGCAGGGGCAACGCTCGACTTTTTTACTTTTCTTAAAAGCAAACAAATAAACGATTTAAACAAATCTTTAAAAAGAAAAAAATCTTTTTTTAACTTCAATAGGTCTGTCTTGTCACGCTTGTTGTTTTGTCCAATAATGAATCATTTCCAAAAATAAATAAGAAAGTTAGGAAAATATAATCAAAATTCAATCTTTTGACGGTCAAAGTCGTTTAAGCTCAAGGTCATATCTAAATTATTCCACATATCTATTTGGCCACAAATGTTGTTTTGTCCACATATGAATCAAATCTGTATAAAAACAAAACATAACAAAATTATGACAAATCATTATGGTCAATGTCATTTCATGCTAAAGGTCAAGGTCAGTTCAATCTGTTTTAATGTATTGTTCAAAAGGTTGTTTCGTCAAAATATGAAAATAATCCATTGATTAATTACTAAATTACAGCCAATTATAGCGACAATCACTGAAAATAGAATAATTCGACCTTTAAGGTCAAGGTCATAATGAGCAAAGGTTAATTTGAATTTGATATACACGAAGGTCCTGACCTAAACGATGTTTGTTTTAATATAAAGTTAATCAATTTATGAATAACAAAGTTATAGCTAGATATAGAAAAAATAAGAGAATATTTCATTAGTTTGACCTTGAAAATGTAAAATTGAGGTCAATGTCACATCTCAAAATTCAAAATGTTTGTTTAGAAGCCAAGATTTAAATCAATTCTATGAAAATGTAATCAAAATTCAATAAATTGATATTGATGGTCAATGTCATTTAAAGCTCAAAGTCAATGTCAGTTCAACGTTTTTAGAGGGTCTTGTACAAAATGTTGTTTTGTATACTTATAAAACATTTATTAATTACCAAGTTACAGTCAATAATCGCAAAAGTTCCATAATTTTATCTTCAAGATCAAGGTCATAAAAGGCATAAGGTCAATTTGAATTTAATATACATGTAGGTCTTTTCCTACAGAAAAAATGTTTTGTTAAAATATGAAGTAAATTCATTCAATATAAACAAAGTTATAGCCAGTTACAGCAAACAATTGAAATTTCAAAAAATTGACCTCCAATGTCAAGGTCAATTATGAGCGAAGATCGAGGTTTGTCTGGCTTACTATTTATTTATTTTTTTTTTATTTAAAAAAAAAAGACGAGGTAAACAGACACATTTTTCAGGACAACATATAAATGCTTGAAACTATAGTTATAAAGAAACCCTGCAATTTTGACAATGTTGGCACTCCATAATCATCGATTTTCAAAGTTTGTACAAACTTAACCTTATCTTTTTTTAAACCTTTAACAGTCACAAATATGTTTACATTCCTTATTTTCAGTAATCAATAATCATTCGAATTTTGTTTGTTGGGGGGGGGGGAGTTCTTTAGTTGTAAATGGAGTTAACAACCCTTAACCTGCTGAATTCGTGAAATGGGCTTGTCCTGCTTTGAATTTGGAACAGTCCATTCAGAGTTTGAGGGATTTTACTTTCTGAAATATTAAAAAAGATCAATCAACAGTTAAGAACCTGGCCAGACTGCACAAATGTGCAGTATACTTCTTACAAAGGGTAATAAAGGGTAAAATCTACCAAAATGCCTTATTAAATGACCTACATATGTTTTCGTATCGATTATTATATTTAAAATTATAATATTTTACTACGTGAATCGATCCGTAAAACTAGCGTACTCTTCTTTACGCACCAAGTTTCGATATAAACATGAAAATATAATAACATTAAAATGTAGGTCATACTTAATTTATTTATTCTTGTTTTAGTATAACCTATATAAAAAAAGAAACACTAAGTGGTGTCACTATAATGAAATGAATGCAAATAAACTCAAATCATCAAAAAGAAAGAAAATTTAAAAAAAGCTTCCAAACTTCAAATTTACATCCAGAAATTCCTATTTTCTTGGACCAAAAATATACTCTTTTTTTTGTCCCTAACAACTTTGAAAATGGACCGCTATGAAGAAAGGTGCCGAGAAAGTCGATTTAAACAATCGGTGTTTTTTTCAGAGTTAAAAAGCATTTTGATTTTTACATTAGATTTATTGCTTTATCTAACATAAATAGATTTGAAAATATAAGATATTGAAATTAAACCACCATACCTTATTTGCTTTTCTTTTTAATCCGTTTATGGGGTCCTAGTAAAATCTATAAATGTATCAATTTGTACGGCGATTCCTTTTTTTAAACCATTAAGTCATACAAGTTTTTTTAATATATGGAGAACATGTTTACAAGATGAAGATTTAACAAATTATCAAATTATGATTTACTTCCTTGTATAGAAAGAAATACGTGGAAATAATATAACAAGGCCTTTTATTAACAAAGTTTTCTGATAGTTACACGTACCAGCTAGGGAGGTGATATCCGGAATGTAACCTCTTGCCCTCAGTATGTGCACCTCGTTGAGCATCGGGAGAATATCTGAAGAACTTGCAACGGCGAAAGAAAACACACCCAAATATTTTGTTCTGCAAACCAGCTACCAATGTCTGATTCCTAGGAGAGTAACTGCAAAAATGCTGGGACGACGAAGGGTATTAGGGTGCATATGAGCTCTCAGTATAATGTGACGGCTTAAAAGACATGCAGGCCCTTTGCTTACCACCACCAACCTTTACCACTTCATAACTTCTCTAGTTACGGTACGTTTGACCTACTTTCCGGCCCAAAATTAATCTCTACCAATGGCCAATGTATTGCGGAAACTGCAACGGTGGGGTGGGGGGTTCAAATTAATAATTAATAAATTAATAATGAAATTATCACCATTTTGTGCTTCGAAATAAAGCCTTTAAGGCCTAAGGTTAAGGCCATTACTTGTGGCATATCGGATGTGAGTTACCGACAGTCATGTACATTTTATTGCTTATTCCTTATTTAATGTGCCAATGGACACTCATATGAAACATAAACTAGCAAACTATCAGAGAGGTATTATAATTAACGTCATTCTAAGACGATGCAAAGTTTACATAATTCCTGTGGGTCATAATTTTATGAAGCTTTCTAAGTAAATAGTTAAGATAGTATCATACTCCACTAAACCGATACATGTACGCAATATAATGAATTATCAACCTATAAACAGAATGAATAAATCAAAATACTTGTATATGGTGGCATATTTATGCCCACATGTAAGTACTTAATAATCACGAAAATTATCAGTGTGTTCTCTTTATAAAATTATGTACTTATGTGGTTATTTACCTATTCAACATTACAAATATCTATAGTTTATCAGATAAATTAAGCATATTAAACGATATAGTGGGATAATTAACGCGATAATTAAGTGGACGTAAGGAGTCATGATGTTTCCATGTTGAAAACACACATCTTTCTTGAATGTTATAAATTCGTTATATTTATTTCTTTCTGTTTTGAATGGAAAACATGCTATGTTCGAATTACCAACGACCTTCTGGTTGGTTGTTGGGGATTTGCGCTAATAACCAACTGAGCCCCCTGGTGGATATGAGGAGACATTGTCTTTCTATGTTGGAGAACACATTTTTCTTTTCATACAATGTATTTTCATTTAAGTAAGTAGTTGTGGACCAACTGAGTCCCTTGGTCGATTTATAGTGAAGGGAGTGTTACCATATTAGAGAAAACACACATCCAGTTATCATGGTTATATAACCGTAAAATTTGTTAAACGTTAACATTATCAACTATTTTCTGGTAGGTAGTTTGGTATTCATGCGAATAACCAACTGAGTACCCTTGTCGATGTAGAGCGAGGGTGATACCATTTGAAAGAATTAATCAATCTTGTCATATATCTGTTACTTTAAATCTGAAAAAAAAATCTTTAGATAAAATTATCTAAGATTGTAATTGAAATATAACTATTTTGCGTGACTAACGAAGTTAGGGCTTTTATGCATATTTTGACATTTATATTTTGTAATTTACATGGGCTGAAAATGTTGTTTGCAATATGTAAATTACTTTCTTTGTTCACTTGAAAATATTTTACCTTTAATTTACATTACATCTTTAAATTTTTCAAGAACATTAGCACGAGTTTGGGGGTTTGCTACTTAAACATACTTTTTCACCTAATTTCCGCCAAAAGAAATATTTATAACTGTTAAAACTTAATTAAATAGACTTGTCACAAATCATCATTTGTCATTATAACAACAATCAATATTAGAACTGCAATTCTATTTATATTTAACTGAACATGGCTTTCTCTGGTATGTTTTTTTATTGCCTATCAACAGTCTTACTTACTTTCCATTTAATACTCGTTTGTGTAAAGTCCTCGAGCAAGGACACGAATGTCAGTCATTGTAAAACACTTAAGACCTAACAGCTATATTTACTATTTAGGTGTGAAAATTCATTTGCATATTAACTCAATTTCACGTTTACTAATGTGATAATGTATATAGGACTTTCAAAATAGTTATAAATCAGAGCGGGCGCTGTGGTGCAGTGGTAACACTGTGTGACTACAAGTCTAGGGGTTGCCAGTTCGATCCCCCGCTACTCCACTAAAAATACTAACAATCTTTCGTATTTAAAAATTAAAATAGATTAATAAAAACTACTAAAAAACTGACTTCACATACAGGACACACTACTCACACACTGATACACAAAACACTACTCACATACACGTCACTACGGACACACAGTACACTACTGACACACAGGACACTACTGACACACAGGACATTACTGACACACTGATTAACAGGACAATACTGGCACACATGGCACTGACACACACGACATTATTCTCATAAACATCACTACTGACACACACGACACTACTCACACACACGACACTACTCACATACACGTCACTACGGACACACATGTCACCAGACACACAGGATTCTACTCAAAAACTGACACACACGTCACTACGGACACACATGACACTACTCACACACTGATTCAAAGCACACTACTGACACACACGCCACTACTCACACAATGACATACACGACACTACTCACATACACGTCACCACTGACACACAGGACACTACTGACACACTAATTCACAGGACACTACTGACACACACTACACTACTCACCACACAATGACACACACGATACTACTCACATACACGTTATACGCACACACATGACACACAGGACATTACTGACACACATGACACTACTCACGCAAACAACACTACTTAAATACACGTCACTACGGACGTACAAAACACTACTGACACACTGATTCACACACACGTCACTACAAAACACATGACACTACTCACACACTGATACACACGACACTACGGACACACAGGACACTACTCACATACACGTCACTACGGACACATAGGACACTACTGATACACACGACACTACTCACATACACGTCACTACGGACAAACACAACACTATGGACCCACTGATTCACAGGACACTACTCACATACACGACACTATGGACACACAGGACACTTCTGGCACACAGGACACTATGGACACGCAGGACACTACTTGCCACGCCGACACTACTGATACACAGGACACTACTCACACACTGATACACTGGACACTACGGAAACACAGGACACTTCTCACACACTGATACACAGGACACTACGGAAACACAGGATACTACTCACACACTGATGCATTGGACACTATGGAAACACAGGACACTACTCACACACTGACACTACTGATACACAGGACACTACTCACACACTGATATACACGACACTATGGACACACAGGACACTACTCACACACTGATACACAGGACACTACTGATACCATTGACATGCTGACACGCAGGCCACTACTAAAACACTGACCTTGCACATAGGAGGCTTAGCATAAACCTTCTACACATCGGGTAAACACTTATCTGACACATTTCACACACAACGAATATGACACACACCTGGCACGTAAGCCACTACTCAACACAGAATACTGCTCAAACAAGGACACAGGACACTGCTTATACACTGGCCTAATACACAATACATTACCTAACCTATAGACACAGGGCTACACTCAAAACACTGACTCACAGGACACTTTCACATACATGTACGACACTACGTACACACAAAAGACAACATCCTGACACACTACGCACACAGTGAACATGACACACAGGACAATACTGACAAACAGGATTTTACCTCACTGACACACAGGACACTACTATATGACACTGAATTCACATGAATAACCAAACTAGGTTCCCTCCTTAAAAATGTATATGTTCAAACATTTCAAGCTGGTGAATTACAAATTACCAACTACCAGCTATTCCAATATTCAACTACCAAAGTGATGCTCATGTCATATGTACGTAACACTGGCATGACTATGCTGAATTTATGTCCCAGGTTTTGGGAAGATTTGCCCACTGTGAAGGTGAAATTATGTGTCAAAAATAAAGCAAAATGTAAACAAAGTTGTGTTTTGACTTCCATACAAAATATACTAAATCACTACTAAACTGTATTTATTAAAGAAAAGCAACTAAAGCAAACTTTGGTTCAAATAATCGGGCAACGAGTAACTTTTTGAAACCAAAAATAAACAAGAGGGCCAAAATGGCCCTCGATTGCTCACCTGACCCATAGAACTCATCCGAGCAATTACTTAGACAAGCATCCTGACCAAGTTTGATGACTTTTGAGTCAAAAATGTGACCAATAGAGTGATAACAAGGTTTTCCTCTATTTGGCTGGTGTAACCTAGTTTTTGACCCCAGGTGACCCATATTCGAACTTGACATAGAAATCATCAAAAAAGACTTTCAGACCAATTTACAGGATACATTGTATTTGGATTAAAACAGTAGACACTAGTGTTAACAAGATTTTTATTCTTAGCTCCTGTGACCTAGTTTTTCATCCGAGATGACCCATGTTCCAACTCATCCGAGCAATCATCTAAACAAACATCCTGACATAGTTTGATGATGATCGAGTCAAAAATGTGACCACTGGGGTTAATGAAAAAATGTTGATGGATGACGGACATTCAACGATTCTAAAAGCTCACCCTGACCCAGCTCAGGTGAGCTAAAAACCTTTGAGAAATTAAAATTAATTTTGAAAGAATTTCTGGGGCATAATTGGCCTTTAACCTTCTCATTGGTTTATTATTGATTATATAGAAATAAATGCACATTTAAAATAGTAGCAAAAATGCAAAACAAACATCTAAAATATGTATTATTTCCAAAAAGGCTTGTAATTCAGTTAAAATCCATTTTAGAGTTATGGGCCTTGAACCTCCTGTTGTGATCTCAAATAAGTGTGTGAAGTTTCAACCAATTCCCTTCAGTAGTCCTGGAGATAACAACTTGCACGCAAAATCATAACCAATGTGTGACACTGATGCCGACGTCTGAGTGAGTGCAATAGCTCTTCTTATTATTTGAAAATTACAGCTAAAATTCGTCTTAGGGTAGAGGTCTTTTACTATTTCAATACGAAGACCTCAATAATAAGTGTCTGGCTTATAAATCAATGTTGTCTGACTGAAAACAGTGTAGCTACTAAAATTTGACATTTTAATATAAAATCCCCTCAGATTTACAAAGGATCGTTCCAAAATTCAATGCAGGTCCATTGTTAAAGTTTAGGATGATTCAGCAAAAAGTAGCACAAAGTAAAAATATAATGAATGTTTCAACAAACTTAGCACTTATTTTTTAGTAAGATTGATATGTATCTCAATTTTCGTGTTATTAAAAGAGCTCCATTGAGGTCATAAAGGCTCAAAACATAAAATTTGAAATTATGAATAAGATCAAGTGTAAACATCTACAAAGGATAATAAACACATATTCTCAGAAATATATATTTAATTATTTTTTTGTGCGATTCTTAACCCGATGTGAGCGAATAGCATTGCAACGCTTTTAATTTTTAGGCCATGTTGGACAATAAAAATGATTATTCCAGAGAAAACTGGGGGAGGGAATGGTCTGAAAATAAGCACACGAGTTATTTATACAGACCTACATCAAATGTTTCATAAATCGCATAAAATTATTTCCAGTCTTGTCATGTCAAAAAATCTCAGTGGAGTCCCTTTAACAGATAAATTCAATAAATTAAACAAACAAATTCTAAATGAATAATGCTTTATTTATATTAATCATTTTTCATATGTCAGGGCATTTATAAATATTACTTGAATAGTAAAAATGAAACCATATGTTAACCCTGAATAATAATAAAAGATTGTGTCAAACACAGTTAGCAGTTCCAAAAATACACAGTGTCTCCAGTCTCCTGATTTTATCAGGGTTACATTACTAACAGAATGAATTTCCATATCATCTGCTTTCAAATGCTATCAAAGTCCCTGTATATCAAAATATCATTCATGACACATTGGCCAAATATGTTGTTCATTTAGGGCATTTGTTACCTCAGATAAAAATAAAAAACCAATACAAATATCAATTTTACATTTTCATGAATTCATATCTACATTATTTAAGACAAATAAGACAAAATCAATTTTGGATGACAAAGACATTTTCTGTTTATCTTAAGTCAGATTAATTTACATCCTAATGATAATTGTTTAATTTCCTTGTGATAAGACACCTTGCCCTCCCTTCAATTCATGTACATTTTAAGGCACTTGAGTAATACTTCCAACCATCTATGAGCTATCTGGATATCTCCCCTCACAAGGAAGAATCAAAAGTCCCTGGCTGGATCCAAACTTTGTTGAAAGGGGAGGAAAGATTCAGTTAGCTACCTAAACCACTCAGCCACATAGCTTCAGTGCTATCTGATGAAGATAATGACCACTCAGCCTCATAGGTGTATAGTTTTCAGATTGGTGAGTGACCACTCAGCCACAAAGGTGAACAGTTTTCAGATAGAGAAAATGACCACTCGGCCAAATAGGCCAGGAGTTTTCAGATGTACATGGTTACCACTTAGCCTCATAGGCAAATAGTTTCAGGTTGAGAGAGTGACCACTCGGCCACATAGGCAAAGAGTTATCAGATGTACATGGTGACCACTCAGCCACATAGGCAAATAGTTTCAGGTTGAGAGAGTGACCACTCGGCCACATAGGCAGAGTTATCAGATGTCCATGGTGACCACTAGCCACATTGGCGAATAGTTTTCAGATTGTGACCATTTGCCCACATAGGCAAAGAGTTACCAGATGTAGATGGTGACCACACAGCCATATAGGCAAATAGTATTCAGATTGAGAGAGTTACCACTGTGCCACATAGGCAAGGAGTTTGCAGATATAGATGGTGACCACCAAGCCACATAGGCAAAGAGTTTTCGACCACTGGGCAACATAGGTGTTATAGTTTTCAGATGGAGATAGTGACAAGTCGGTGTGATAACTGTCATTATGAATATATTACAAGTTGCTATTTAGTTTTACCAGCACACAATTTGTTCTTGTAAAATTGAAATATCTGATGCATAGCTTCCCTATTGCCTGCCATATATGTCATTGAAAATGAGATAACTCCCTCTTCTTTCCGAAGCATGAGCTTACTTAACAGCAAGCAATCCTCATTCTCATTAAATGGTTCAAGTGTCTCATAAAATGACTTGTTAGCTTTTTTCCCTTGTGATTTCTCACTGTTTGTCTCCTTTTCCTTCCAGAACTGCTCAATTACATCTTTACGTACAAGTTTATTAGAACTTTCCACTTTGGTTTCATCATTCTCACTATCCTTTGTAACATTAACCTTATTTAATATGTTACACTGATTATCAGATTCAAGTTTTATCTTCTTAACTTCATGATCACTGTCTTTATCACTTAATGTTCTTTTCCCATTATTTTTTTCAGTACATGAATCATCACGTTCAATTTCATTAGGTTCATTCTTTACTACATCATCATTTTCTGCAGCATTTTCGGTGTCAAGCTTTTCACCTGTGATATCTACATCAATGTCTTTTGGTGTATTATCAGAAGCATCTGTGATTTTTGTAACATCATCAGTTTTATCAGATACTGCTGTTGTTTCGTCATCGATACATTCAGAATGTTTCTTCTGTCTCCTTCTTTGTCGTCTCTGATGTGACCAAGTGTTCTCCTTAGCCTGTATGATGAAGCACGAGTAGAACTTCCCATTGTGTTTTGTGTAGAAATGTATCTGAAACGTGTATCAAAAAAATCTTTAAATAAGTGAAAAAAGGCATTGACAGAACTGTTTTAATCTAGTGAAACTATGTTCTTTTTTTTCACTGTTGAACATTGACCTACAAATGATAAAGTGAAAACCAATTTATAAATAGCAGAAAACGTTTTTGGTAAAGCTAAAGATATCTTCTACCAACAGTGCAAGTAGTGTAAGGCAATTATTGTCCCCGCCTTTTGCACAAATGTTTATTATAATAAGACGATGTGTCATGCGCAACAACCAAACCCCTACCTCCAGGGTCAAGGTCACACTTGCTCATTCAAGGTCAACATTGTCTATTTGAGGGTATATGTTGTGTCCGGTCCATAACTTTCTTATCTTTGAAGGGATTTTGTAAATACTTGCCAAAATTATTCATAATAATCAGACGATGTGTCATGCGCAAAAACCGGTCACCTACCTCCAAGGTCAAGGTCACACTTGGAGGTCAAATACTAAAATAGTCTGTTACAGGGTATATTTTGTGTCTGGTCCATAACTTTTTCATAGATCAAAGGATTTTGAAAATACTTCACACAAATAGTCACTATAATAAGAGGATGTGTCATACGCAACACCTGCATCCCTACCTCCAATGTCAAGGTGACACTTAGAGGTCAAAAACTAACATAGTCTGTTATAGGGTATATATTTTGTGTCAGATCTAGAGCTTCTTCATAGTTCAAGGGACTTTGAAATAACTTGGCACAAATAGTCACAATAATAAGACGATATGTCAAGTATAACACCTGCACCCCTACCTCCAAGGTCAAGGTCACACTTAGAGGTCAAAGCTTAACATGATAGATTTTGAAGTTCTGTGTTTCATTTTATCTTTTTAACAAATTTATTGTTGCATTTGCAGATCTAGCATTTATCATAATTTTGGACTGAATGTTCTGAGATCCATACCTAAATCTTTTGAAATAGCACAATTTTATGCTTCATATAAAACTTCCCCAAGACGGGGGACTACAAATTCTTGTTTGTTTTAGATTTAGTTAATATTGCATGAAAAGTGTGATTTGTGTCGATAGTTCTCGTTTATAGAATAAAGTTTTTACAATAATTTGTTTTCAAACGGTAAATCACGAACGATGCACTGACAAAAGTTGAATGAAGTGACAGCGAAAATTTGCATTCGCACCTCATTATAGATAAACTTTCATAAAGCTATTATTAGACTCGAGTTTTTGGAAGACCAATAAGGAAGTTACTTCTTATAATAATCTAAAGTAACAAAAAAAATATACACTGGAGCCACGATATAGCGCTCTTCGATATACCGCTTATCTCAGGACAATGCTCATATGCCTTGGCTCCCAAAAAAAAAAAATTATTTTTTCGCCGATTATGATTATTTTTTCATGTATATCAATACCGCACCTTATCCACTATAACGCTTGTTCAATGTGTCAGTCGAGTGCAATAAACAGTCATAATTACGTCACTAATGATCAGAAGGTGTGAAGTCATACACAGGTAAGCGTTAATCCGCTCTTTTGTTCATTTTGAACTGTTGATCAGTCAGGTATCAAACTGTTAGCTAAGACATGCAAACACCGAAGAGTTGAGTAAATCACACAAGTGTACAATTAATTTAAAAAGCATGCACTTTCGATCTATCGGCAAAAAAGTAGTTGAAGATGACTGATTTTTTCACAAGAGACAGCAGTAAAGACGATTAATTTAGTCCCATCCACTAGGTATCAATTTTCATGACCACACATAACTCACATTAACACAATTTTTATAAACAATTATACATTTGTGGTTTATATTTTTAATTCGTAAATTTCATGTGTATATTAAAGATATTCAGTAATGCTTTACAAAATAATCAATATAATATATAAAAAAGTTTGGACTGATATCCATTGATGGTAAGTAAACAATCATTTCCACTAACAAGCGTTATATGTTTCGGCGGTGGGTGGGGTAATGAGATATTTTCACTATAATGACAAAATGAGCGTTATAAAAAGTTACTCGTTACAACCCTGTCTTGAAATCATTGACCCCAACATGAGCGCTATAACGGAGCTCCAGTGTATACGACAAAATACTTTTTTATAACGTTTATATGGTTCCAATAAGTGTCGTTTTATATGCCTTCAACATTTTTTTTTTATATATTGTACACTTTTTATGAACATGGCACTTTAATGAAATTTCTATTCATACGTTAATGACTTTTTACACTCTATGGCCGGTTCATATTGATATCTGTGTATGCATCAGTTCCAAGGACATGCTTCTATACTGTGTAACAGCACATTTATTGCTTTTTGACTTTGTTATCAAATAATGCCAAACAGCTGTTGAGTTCGCCAGAATATGGAATTTAATATGGTGGTCCGACACATTTTTTAGACTCACTCATATCAATTAAATAGGGTGATATACAACAGGAACTTGTTTAATATCAGTGAGTCGCTATGACAAGTTTGACAGTATTTGTTTTAAAATTTTGACAATCTTTTTAGTGAAGGCAGTTACCTTAAGTTCCTCCAGCAGTTTAATAATGTACCAGGAGTGTGTCGGGACAGTGTAGTCTCCAACCACATCTGCCGATGAACGTGGAATTTCAAACTGTAGTGGCGGTTTAACGTTCTTCTGTTCTTGAAATGCAGATTTCTGAAGAAAAATAAATATTTATAATATAACATTTTTTAATACAATATTAACAATGAACATTATAACATTTTAAATGATGGGCATTCAAAGGATGTAAATAATATTTGGACAGACAGCCTTGTGGTTCAAGGTGTTTCCATGTTGCACCAACACAGTGTAGGTCATATGGTGACTTTCCAGCTTTACTGGTAGAGGAAGACCTCAGCTGACCCTCTAAACATTATTTATTCACAAACAGGCACCTGAGTAGAACCACCAACATTCCATAAGCTAGCTGGATATAACAAAAAATGTTGAAACTAACTGATATGAAATCTTCAATACAATGTTCATATTTCAAAATAATGTCTATAAAAGTATTTGACACTTCTAAGATATACTAATTTATTTTAGTTTGAGCATGCTAGAACCTATAAGCTTATTGAAACACTCTCAAATCTGTTCTGTGAACCAACCAGTACTAAGTAATGAGTGTAAAGTTTCTTGCCCATGGAAACAATGGTTTGCCTCGGACAGGGTTTGAACCCACACCGCCAGCAACCCTTAGATTACTAGTTTAACATCTTAACCTCACAGCCATGCTGCCACTTCAAGAATGATTCAACAACAAACATTCCTGTATGTTCTTGGACAATGTATCTTAAAATGCACATTTTTAGCAAATGAAATGTTTTTTTAAATAGGCAATATGACATTCAAAATAATGACATAAAATCTTACAGGAAACTCCACACTTTCATCAAAGGTCCATGCTATTCCCCATCTCATGGTCCTACCCTGACAAAATTCTGTGGAGGAATACTTTGGAACCTGAAAAAAAAAAATAACATCATTAAGATGTACATGTACAATATTTAACACCAGGGTGATGTACCTTGGTATATATGGTGTTGGTAACACTAAAACATGTTATTAATTTACACCAGTAATTAACCTTGTATATGGTTTGGGTGAAACAAATGCTTATCATTTGAAGTGAATTTTTCTTGTTATATTTTGTAACAAAGAACATTTTCCTGGGTACTTAAATTTGTGAACAATTTAATTTTTCCAAAAGGTGAAATGTAAATAAAGTGATGCAAAATAATCTTACAGCAGATAAAATGAAATTATGTTTGATCTTAAATTCATGGATTGACCTTTCTACGAATAACCACAAAAATTAGGGCCCCACGAATAATATTGATTTTGCAGTATGAATTACCTTCTTCTTTTGCAGCACATCTTTTAGTGAACTCAAACTCATCTTTTTACCAAGCAGACTTGTATATACTCTATGGAAGAAGAAAATAAAAAAAATATCATTGCATGTTATCATACAAGTAATTCTGTGTATGTTTTACTGTATTTTTCACTCCTTTAGACAGGTTTGATAAACAGACACATTCCCCATCCCAAATAGTTCTCCCCCCTACACTGTTTGAAATTCGAAATTCTAACATCACAGACAAGTAAACCTGGTCTCATTAATCCATTTCTTTTTGTTGACTGTTTCACAAAACATGAATGTTACTTGTATACAAACTTTTTGTGATATTTCATTTTGTACCATTCATTTTTTTCTGAAGATCCTTAGAATTATTACACAAAAGACATTATAAAGTTACATAATTTACAAATTTCACAATTTTTTCTTAAAAAAAATTATTTTTTTTATATTGACTTGCCTTGCATTGAAAAAAGAATTATCTCTTGCTACTCTGTAGCTTAATTAACTCCACTGTAGGCTTAATTAACTCAAATGTAGCTTAATTAACTCAACCAACAGTATCTGTTGAAAGTCTGGTTTGTTTGTTTGTTTTAAGTCACACTGGCACTGTTAAGGTCATATGGCAACTTTCCAGCTTTATTTGTGCAGGAAAACCTCAGGCGCTCCTCTGTGCATTATTTCAGGAACAAGCTGGCACCTGAGTAGAACCACCAACCTTCTGTAGCTTCCTCACATGAAAGAATCCCACGTGACCACGTCTCTGTTAGGGTTTTAACCTACAGCAAGTTATTTGAATTCTGCTACCTTAGCCACTTAGCCTAGGAGGCCCTCTAGATTTTCACAGACATGGGAGCTGTGCAGGCAATATAATGCTGACATAGGTTAATATCTGGAAACAAAGAGATTCCTCGGAAACATTAAAAATTATGCTTCTTCACTAGCATTCGAGGAGATAAGACAATTACCGAATTTTCTTTTTCAAAATAAGAGACTCTTCTATCATCTGTGTGACAAACCTAACCTCGCCACCCCAAGCTATGCTCTCATTTTCGCTTGCGGTAGAGATCGAGGAGGACTCTGATCGATTGTCATTACGCGTAGATGTTATTCCCTGTGCCTCGAGATGATCAGAGTAGAACGGAGGGTTGCACATACAGAAATCATACGTTTCTTCTTCATCAATCAGGCCTATCAAGACAGTGTCTTCTGTTACCTTCTTTACTGTCAACATAAAAAAAATGTTAAAGTTTACATAAAACTGCACATCCAACTGCATGCTTGATAATTTCTAGAACTTGATAGAAAAGCAGGAGTCTGGATAATGGAAGAAATTCGAATAAAATTTCTAGTAAAATTCAGCATTTTAATCAGCGAACTGCAGTTATTACCCTGAACACGTGTGAAGCATTTACTGCAGGGCCCTTATTAATATTTTAATTTATAGGGGACTGGGGCCAGAGTACTCGGGTAGGTGAATTTGGCTTCATTTTGGAGAAAAAAAATAATTTGGTCTGTTAACAAATATGCTCATTAATATATATTAAATTTTTAATTAGGGAGGGGAAAGTGGCCGAATTTCCATCTAAAAAGATTGTGAAATGAGGGCCATCAAACCTTGACCAGACAATAAAATTGTTCCACATACTTGTAATTTGGTCCTCCATTTTGTTACCAGCTATATTTTTGCTGGCAAAGTACATGTTTTGATCGTCAATTTCAGATGCCAGAAATTTCCACTGGTTCAGTCTGCAGCCAAGTAATGGATATATACAGCTAGAGCCAGTTCCTGAAAAAAAATCAATCATAATAATCAAATTATTTTATGTTATACATGTACAGTCAAATAACAAGAGCTTTTATAAAGTCCATTTTATATCAGTTATCCTGTCTTGTATTTTTTCTTCATATAGTGATGGGATTTTAAAAGAAAATCAGACTTTTTGACATTTTTGATAAAATTTCCAGTACCTGTGGTCAATCACAATTTTTTTTTGAAAATTCAAAATTAAATGAACCAGTGGTTAACACAAGGAACTGCAATGATAAAGTAATCTAATGGTATCGAATTGTACATTATCAATGGTAGGATACTACATCATCACGCACCTGCAAAATGCTCCCAATCGGACTGGGTTTTTTTGTTAACATCCGTCAGCTCGAAGGTAAAACATGTTTTTATTCTAAGAAATTGTAAGAATAAAATAATGTAGTGCACCAAAGATTCGCTTTAGCACTTGATATAATTTTAAAAGAAGTTTTACTGCCTAGTTAGTCCTGAAAACGGGTTTTAGTCCCAAAACTTATTTACCAATATCTATTCCTTTGGCTCCATTTTCTTTTCCTATGATATCCTCTAACCATAAGATGTAGTTCAATCTCTGTGGAACAGTGGGTATGAGCCTATCAAGAGGCAATGTAACGGTAAGTCCAAAATCATCTTCCAACAAGGCCCTAGTAAGGGCTCTTAGTGCGGCTGGGTCTTTGAAATCAAGTATTACTTTGCCGGACTCGTTTATCGTAACCTTCTCTTTGAAGTAATCAAATTTTGTAGAAAGAGCCTGAAAGTCTGGTTTTCTTTTCTTGTATGTATTTCTTGGGTGCATATACTTGTTCAATGCCATGGCTGACTCTTTGATTTGATATATTTGTCTGAAAACTGAAAATTAAAAATTGTATTTAAAAAGTAAGTAGTCTCCAGTAATGGAAACTATATAATAATACTTATAGTTAAAACTTACTGTTGAAGTACAGTATTTTGATGCATTCCAGAAGAATATATTTTTATCTTAGAGTAGTTATAGGTTAACTCGGACTCCTTAATTTCAAATGATACATTTGTAGGAGACCTTAGTATAACTCCTATTTGAGACAATTTAATATGTAGGTCCTGAGTTAAACAGTTATTTTGCTAAGATAACAATACATAACATTCAGAAGTATGAAATCAGAATTATTCTCACTAAATGTACTATGCAACAAGATATTGAGCTATTTTGTGTATGGGATAATTACATACTTTTTTTTGGTAGACAGACGTTTCACTATTGAGACGGTTCACACCAAGACGGTTCACACCAAGACGTTTTACTCCCAAATGGGAGTGAAACGTCTTGAAGACGTTTCACTCCCTTTTTATACCAAAAATATTTTGATACTTATGATATACTAAAACAGACTTAAAATATTGTATTGAACTAAAAAAGACCTTAAATTTAATAAAAATAAATTAAAAAGGGGGAATAAATTTCACTTTTTTGTCAATGACTTAAAACTCAGTGCTTTAAGTTCTATCATTTCAGTTATCTTATCTTCTTTATTGTTGTTTTGAAATAAGGCGTTCTTCTATTCTAAATATCTTTGATCCATATGTGCAATTATCACATTATGTCACTTAAAGAAAAAAAATATTTTTGATCAAAATAACACTTTAATATAACTAACTATTTGATCTTTTGTAAACATGGACTCAATAGACATTTTTAATTTAAAGCATAACAATCTTGTGACAACAATTAACTTAGAGTAACATGTTTTTTTGTTTTTGTTAATTTTAAACATGGGATACAAAATTGTTAAATTATTTAATGCTAGTATACTGCAGTAGTGCTTTTGCGATATATGTCAAAAATTTTAATGGCCATTGAAATCAGAAATATCTTTAAATTAAATTAAAAGCATTGAGACTTTTCAATATTTGTCATGTATAATCATTTTTTTTTGTGACTAAAATTCATTATTATATAAACAAAACTTATGGAAAAGTTTCTGTTTAAATTGGCTGTTGTCAAAATATATTTTAATGGTCCAATAAACCACTGATTAGTAAGCTGTTGATGCTTAACTTAAGAGCAGTGTTATACAACTGATTTTACAGGCATTTAGATCACCAATATATAAGAAAACCTAATGTTATGTTATTCAAATCTGTTATGAATATAGATACAAAACATAACGATAAGTACAAGCATTTTTGTTTATTTGTTAAGGAAATAATTATTAAATTTGATATTAGATAAAGTTGCAATCTGATGTACGTCTTAGAATTACTACAAAGATAAGTGCTTTGCTATTAAGATCTGTCGCATATTAAACATTTTTTCAACTAATATTTAAGTAACGGAAGTTTAAGATCATGTTATTTGAGTATATGACTGATCTCTTTGGCAAAGCATATATATTTGTAACATTATTGGTATTTAATTTAAACATATGGAATACTAAATGTCTCTCCCTCGTATGAAAATACGAGATATGTCTATGCATGTCATATATGCCTCTATAGTTTATTATGTAAATATGTTATAGCTCATATTGTCATGTTATTCATGAACTGAGTATGAAATAAACTTGTATTAATTACAGTGGTGTCAAACTGTTAGTTGTTTATACAACTAATTAGGCGATGACATAACGCCACAATTTCTTAAGTTTGTTTAATGGCTACTGTTTAATAAATTGATGAAGAAAATAATTTTAAAAATAGTTTATTTTATACACATGTTTCACATTCATTGTTTAAGACTTACAAAAAAAAATCATTATATAGTCAATTTATTTAATATATTAATACTTGAATAATATTAATTACTTTACTGGTAGTGATTTCAATATTCAAACCGATACTTATAATATGTCTTTGTTGTTCTTTCTATGTTATTCTTTTTTTTAATTTACTATAAATAGAATTTTCTCATGTTCTTACACTTATAATAAAAGTGATATTTCAGAAATTTGTCTTTCTATTACACCTCTTATCACTCAACCCATAATTAAATGAGTAATCTTCTAATAATTCGTATTAACAATACCATTGAAATCAACAAAATGAAACATTAAATTGAATTTCCTTTTTACACTGTTTATTAATGAAATCAAAATTTGTTAACTTTCCTAGTAAACATCTCTAAAAATTGGGAGTGAAACGTCCATACAATTGACAAAATGGGAGTGAAACGTCTAGGTGTGAACCGTCTTGGGAGTGAAACGTCTCAATAGTGAAACGTCTTGGGAGTGAAACGTCTGACATTCCTTTTTTTTACTAGAAACCATTCTGTCTCTTGTCAGTTCTTCCCATTAGTCTAATTTATCGCAAGGAATGTGGTAAATTTGTAATCATCATTTGTTTTTAACATATATTAAGCTCCATGGTTTTTAATAATTATTTTAAATATTTGATCAATTATAAGCGATGAATTATAAAATTTTAACAATTAAAGCTTTAAAATGATAATAATCCAATCTGGAATGAATAAAAACACTTACTTATTAGTAATCATACAACAAATTTACATTCATAAATCAACCTTACCAAAAAACTTCAACGATCTCTCAAAAATGATAATAAAGTGAAATACGTACTGTAGACTGATCTAAAACGAAAACGACATGCTAACGTAGGCCTATCGTAGTTTCAGTCCATTTTTTTAAACCTTTCGAATTTGATTTATTTATGACAGTCGTACATTTGCATACATTTCGACATAAATTTTCATAAAATATTATTTTTTTACCTTTTAACTAAAATCTAGCCGCTAAAACTTCGAGATTTTAACCTGTTAATGCGAGGGAAAATTTACAATGGAGGCTGCCATTTTGAATTTTCTGGCTAAACGCCGTCTTATATTATTCGTGACAATACCGGACACTTTATCGATATAGGCTTTAAAAGTGCTAAAATACGAATCGTTTCTTATTTTTAGATAAAAACTGTTGTTATAAAAATAACCGAATATGTTCGAAATTTACATAAAAAATTAAAGCGGACAGTGTTTACAAGCATATGCTAACTGTTTAGCTAGGTTTTCGAAAAGGTCAATTAGCATGGCTTCAAAATATCCTTAACAACACTTCTTAAAAAAGTTAAACATCCAACACTGAAAATTGAAAATATTGCAGACTCAGCTTGATTCAACCAAATCATGCCTTCATTGGAACTGTCTAAACATGTATTACATTGGAATTCTACATGTACTGTCCATCATTGCTTTAATATTTGATATTCAACACTCGGATTATACATGTATACAAGTATATATTCATTCAATCAATAGTCAAACTCATATAAATTTATCAATAAACGTGTACAATTGTACATCCGCAATGCCCACAGACATCGACAGGACGGAATGAATATCTAAGTAATTAATCAAGTATTAGTGTGCGACTATATGTCTCATATCACGAATCTTAATTACTAAATTAAAGTAATTATGTGGGCTATTCCCAGGACACAAATAGGTGTATATATAGAGGTGTAAATATAGTACCTGACGGAGTTATTACTCATATCAGAGCTTTCATAGAAGTATATAGCTTGATCCATGTAATTCCTAAATGCAATGAACTGAAACCTGGGCCTAAATTTTCTTAGCAATCAATGGTTTACCATAAGGGAAATTCTTGTCATCATATCACTTATCCTATCCTTGTACTTAAACATAATGATTGAAATCTTTGTTTGTAAAAAGAAAAAAGAAATTAAGCCAACAAAGTCCTCATGTCGGTCTCATCTTTGCAATCTAAACCAATAAATAGAAGAAAGTTTTCAACATAAAAGCCCTTCTCCTTGTGTGCATTTTATCTTAGTCTCAGCTGGCAAATCACGCAGAAAAGTCTAACTTTAGGCAACATCATGTTATCAATGAATCTCAATCGCATTTTCTTTTTCATGTAAGGTGCAGCCAACGCGCTCTGTTGAAAGCTGGGAGAGTACACTTCACGTCAACATGAATCAACTAGAGCTACACAATAAACATATTTATTTATTTTGTAGCAGGAACGAACGTCCAATCAGGACGCTCTATGTGAATTTATCCGCGCGAACTAACTGCGTTCGGGTCTCTGTAGGCTTATTTAAACCATTACTTACTGTCAAACCGTTGGAAAAAGACAGCGCCCGTCTAAAATTGTATCTCGGTGTCTCTTTGACAAGTCTAATTCGTTGGACTACAAGAATGTATGCGTCCGAAGGCACATTAAATTTGATCGGAAATAAGAGTTACCGAGATTTTCAAGGAGTGCATTCCCATGCAAATGAGTACATTCAACAGGTCGCACTGGACTTTAGAAAAAAATGCTTGTTTTCCAGAAAGCCGGTTAGGTGTATCGATCGTCGATATATGAGCTAATGTGCTGAAATCGGCGTTAAAACGTGGAAAACAAGAAAAGAAAAAAGTAAAACTTACGGAAATGTTAGTACTAGATTTCTTGTCAGGGCCACGTATATATATAGACGACCGGAACATAGAGTACGCCATAATAAGCTAGTGGTAGTGTTAATAGTTGTCACTCCGGATGACGGCAGTCACGCAAGCCACATTTACCTACAGAGCTCGGTTCAGACACCACATAGTTCCTGGGCACGTTGTCAAGCCGTTTTCCAGAACTAGTTGCCTTCACTTTCGCAAGGAACTGACAACTTCTGTACATGCCAAAGCAGAGGTACAGAGCGAATGACCATAGAAAGGATTCCATTATCAATCACAACGAAAGTGAAAGTCAACTCCTGGTGATGCATATTGCCGAAAAGCTAGCTGCTCCTATCTTTCCAATGACAATTAGCCCATCGTAAAGGTTACAGTATTGTTGGTTAACGAACGTGAACTATATTAGCAAATATAATATATGATCGTTTGATATAATTGGTAATTCCACATGTGCTGGTGACATTATTACCGGACTTAGCAGCAAGTGGAACTAACTGAATTCGTTTTGGGGCTTTGCAAGAGGGGCTTCGCTAAAACAACCTTATCTTATGGTGGATTCTCTAAGAATTCTCTTATTTAACATCACACGAGTATTAATTATAAATAATTTAAATAGAATAAATATGTTCAAGAACAAAATATGCTGCCATTTTAAGCTGGGGTTTTACCGTTGTCGCTTTTAATGAAATATATACAAACTTATTCCCTCCCTACAGATATTCTGAATTTTTTATTTCAAACAATCATTTTGTTAACTACGAACAACAGATATATAGCTTTATACACTTTAAAGAAAAATAAAAGGAAATGAAATGGACAAAATACATGCTTTCTTATTCGCAGTAAGTATAAAATGACTGACAATTTTATTTGGCATCTATCAACTTCCCACGGTGGCCGTTATTACATTATATTAAATAAGCTAGGCTATTAAATTAAAGGTCAGTGCGCTATTTATTTGTCGCCCATATTCTCACTACAAAGAAATCTAAGTACACTTTTCAATTTATTTTATCAAATGACTATAAAATATCGCCGGATGAAAATTTTATCATAAATAAACACACGTAAAACACATGAATTTAAAATTCTTAATATATTTATATATGTTTATACATTAAAACACCATCATGCGTAAAAAAACAACCATAAATACACAATAACAAACAACTCCATACATAGAAACAACAACAACAACAACAATAAATTGCACTTAGAATGAGGATAATGCTAAAATTAAATTACAAATATAAATGGCCGGTAAATAAACTGGTTACCAATAACATACAGCTGTACCCTGTATCTTAGATTCCGGCTATGACACAGTTTACTTGATTATTATATTGGTAGTTAGTCAATCACTTTATAATATAATATCAGATCAAGTCAAGAAATACATGATTAATCATAACATAAGCTCAGAAGAGCACTTAATGCGGACTTACAAACTTTCAAATAAAAAGTCCAATCAATATCAAATCAAAAGCCAAGCAGCCGATCAATTCATTCATTTCAAAGAACCATTCTAAATATATTTTCGAAAAAAAAATATTGACATTTAATTTGCAATAAATCCGGACATAGCCATCTCCAGTCCATTGCACGTGACTAATCTTTCTGCCATAAACCAACAAACTGACTTCTATTGTTTTGGTGGTAGACGTTTGAAGTATCTCTTACAAACAACATCTCCTATGTACATCGTCTGAAATAACATACATACATGTATATTCAAAACACAAATTGCGTATTACACACATAACAAACATACAAATATGTAAACCCAGATATAAAAATAACAATTATGTTATGTTTTACAAGGGGAAAACAATATGTGAGAGTCACAAAAATATTAATCTAAAGTTCTACACTATCTACACAATATTTCTGAATGTTATAAATAGATTACCAAAAGCATTTCATCACCGACAATTTCTCGCGTTGCTTTCGTTGGTTTTATTTTCTCGTCTGCTGGTGTGTTGTTTTGGACTAGTTTACCATCTTCGTAATTAACAACTGCCTGCAAAATAGACTGATCTTTTAAAAATAACATTAACCAAAGAGACTGTCAACAAATTGCTTTGATAGATTTTGACCCAGTCGGAGTAGAAGACTCTCAACCACCAAACAACATTATATAGGTTGTGGTGTTTAACCCCACGCATCACGACAGTAAGCCACTTTATAAGCACACTTCAGCCACCACACCGTTCCTGGGAAGGCTGTCAAGCAGTTTACCAGTGCCAGCTGCCTTCACTTTCGCAATAAATTATTAACTTGTAACTGTATATACCAAGGCAGAGATACAGTGCGAATGGCCATAGAAAGTATTAATTTTATTGATCAATTTACAACGAAAGTTGTGTTCTACGTCGCATCAACATAGCATATGTCATAATATGGCGACTCCCTAGCTTTATTAGGAGAGGAAGACCTCAGGTGGCCCTCCGTGCATTATTTCAGGAGTAGAACCACCGACGTTCCGTAAGCCAGCTGGATAACTTCGTCACATGAAACACGCTGCTCGAACCTACAGCAGAGAGAGGCAAGTGGTATGAAGCCACCGATCTTAAACACTTTGTTACGGACGCCCCTACGAAAGTGACCTGCACCGTCCGGAAATCAAATCCGGTCGCCCCTTTCACAGACGCATTGAGCTAACTGGAAGGTTATATCCTTATTAAGACAAAACAGATAGTATTATGTAGATGAGTGTAAAGGAGTCTTGCTGGTTTAGGGTCTTTTACAAAACACTGGGTCAAAATTGACCAAAATCAAAGCACCGTGACAGCACCCTTTACCTGTTTGTAATACCATGATTAGACTTCTTTCAGTCCATTATCAGTTTAGATACATCGCAATAGAAATAATAAGTTGGCCAGCTAGCAGACCTTTTTACAGCCTAGTCAGACAGCAGAAATGTATATGCCTCTCGCTCTGTTGCTGGCAAATACTTTGCAGTTTCGGTTCCACCATCGAAATGGTACATGTAACAATTATCTCCGGCTGGCATCCAGTGACCTTTAAAGTATTAAAAACCCATCTTGCAATTGCATATTCGCTTACACATGACTGTTTATGCTAGTGACTAATATTCTGAAAACGCAGACATAAAATCAAATTAGGATGCAGTGCGTTCGCTTTGTTCTAGACATGTCTTACCTTACTTTTACTGCCCATATGGTCCGTTTCGAACTCTTCTCCAAGTTTATATGTATCTGCTTTTACCATAAAGCCAGCGTTCATAGCAACTGTTATTCTCTCTTCGTCTAGATCTACCTTTACGTTAGAAGTGGGTTTGGCCAAGCTTGCCATCTTGCGAATTAAAAAATTCACCCCTGAAATAAAGGTTCAGTCTCAGTCTAGAGTGTAGATACCACGAACGTGTCATTGCACTGATTCTTTAAAAGTTAAGGAGCAGGCGCAAAAAAAACTTGCTAGTTGAATGGATCAACAACTGATCATGAGAGATTATTGTTTACGGTACACAGTCTCCAAGAACACCCAACCACATATGGGACCACTGAAAAGGGGGCAACAAACAGGAAATGTCTGTTAAACCATATATATGCATCTCCTTTCTTATTTTCAAGAGTCTAGCCAACTGATCAGTCATCAATATTTACGTGGTGCTGGATATGCCAATAAATATCGGCGGTATACCGTTCACACTTTTAAATGTGGGTGACAAAATTGTATAAAACTATAAATAATTTCTATATAGTATCTGGAAGAAATACCAGAAAAGTAAGCCAATGTAAGACATTCGAGAAGATTGATACAACCTGAGTTGTTTAAAGAGATTATAAAGAATTAAGTTTTTTTTTAGATAAAGTACATATTATATATATATATGACACAGTAGATCGGACCCGTAACCCCTTATACACAGTCAATGGACACTTTTACACTCTCACTAGCTTTAACTGAGTATAACATATTGAAACATGACAGGTCGTATTATATCTTATACACGTTATAATTTATATTACTAGTACAATTTAATATCTATGAGACACGATTTAATGATAACGATGTTACTCCAAGTTCATAAATTTATGTCAACAGGAAATGTACTGAATTTCGAAATTTCGTTTCTTTAACCTGATATTTAAACGTTTAAATTAACGTATAAAAGTGCATACCATATTTATAATTATATGAAAAGCTCCTATTTTGCCTTCTATATAATAGTATGCTATGTACATATCGATTTCTCGTTCAATACGCAATCAAAGACACATTGCTTTTATGGTTATAATTAGCGCACTGCTTGATAGCTTTAACATAAAACAATAAAGAAAAAACCTGATAGCATTCAATGTAAATTAAGTAATATACGTGTGCGATCATATCCGGCTTTAATACTTAAGTTACCAGTTAAGTTTTGATAAATATATCTAAATACAGGTATAAGTTAATTACAGTATATTTAGAAAAAATGTTTTCTACTGTTTAAAGTGTCAAAATGGAAGAATACAACGTAGTTCAGTCATTTTCGATTTCAATGGTTTTAATATCGTTTCACAGCTTTACACTCCTTAATTATTTCAAGGCTCAGAACATGTATAATATTACGCTCGTGACATACTTGTAAATCTAGATAACTTACCCACTTCACGTAGAAAATCTTCAAAGCATTCACTGCGTTCAACTTTCCAATCTCCTTCAAACTTTTCCTTAATCTCTGCCAAAACTTCAGCCGACATGTTTTAACTTCTGTTAAATAAACTCGGCGCTATTTAAACAGTATATTATTTGCACCTTGTTCACTTCCGGGATTTTAGGACAAAAGGGGAAGTAACTGTTAACTGGTTTTATACATATTTTATCTAAACTGATTAGTTAATTTATTACAGGCTACAGTCAATCATGTCGTTTCGCTGCCGTCATCGTCCATGCTGAACTTGACCTTGACTTATAAACGTCCTTTACCTTCAATGAGTTGCTTATCTTTTGCTGTATCTTTGTTATATTCATTTTGAATGGATAGTCGTCATACTTGGACACAACAGTCCTTTGTACAAGAACTCTAAGTAGATCAAATCGATTGTGACCGTCAATAATTCATGACCTTGACCTTGAAGGTCAGATTATTGAATTTTGCTTGATTTTTGCAATAATTGTATTTAACTTTTTTTATTTATTTATTTATGAATGAATTATCTTCATACTTGAACACAACAACTTTTCGGACAATGTAGTTAGAAAATAAAACTCAATTCGACCTTGACTCATAAATGACCTTGACCTGTCAAATTATTGCGATTTCACTTTTTCTTCTTTGTTTATAATTGGCAATGACTTTGTAAGAAACGAATCGATTGGATTCATACTTGCGGTCACAAGTTCAGACAAGATTTAAGAAAATATTTATCTAAACTGATTGAGTTTATTTATTACAGGCTAAAGTCAATCATGTCGTTCGATGCCGTTATCGTCCAAGCTGAACTTGACCTTGACTTTTAAACATCCTTTACATTCAATGAGTTGCTTAATTTTTGCAGTATCTTTGATCTTAACGTTAATTTGATCTGGACACTTCAGATCCAATTAGTGGATTTTACAACATAACTTTGATATTTATGTATGCTTTTGATTTATGCTTGGACAATAGAACACTTATACAAAACTGATATGTTTAAAAATTCAAATATGGCTTTGACTTTAACCGACCTTGGTCTTAAATGTCAACTCATTGAATTTAGATTAGATTTTCAAAAGAATGAAGAAAAAAACGACATGATGAAATTTTTCATAACTTTGTTATTTTTTGATGTGATTTATATTTGGCCAAAGAACACACACGACAAAACCGATATGTTGAGTTATTTGAAATGTCCTTTATCTTTAATTGACCTTGACTGTCAATGTCAAATTATTGAAATTTTCTATTTGTGATAACTTTGTTTTTATGTATTTACTAAATAACCTGACATGATGATTAATTCAAATTCAACCTTGACCTTTGAAAGACAGTCCAGTCGGATCTGATCTGTCCTCTGTATGAGTTATCTGAAAAACACGTTACTATATATAGCAAGGAATGAATCCTCAAATGGCCCTTTATTCAACTAGGACAAAAGTTTCCGTTAACATGCGGCTCAGAAGAAAGTACCATATTAATCATTACTTTTTATTTCAAATGAACGTAAATTTTATTTTTCTATACTTAATATTGCACAAGAATTTCACAAAATGTTTCTTTAACTTTTTTCATGTTATCCATGTTTGCTTAGGGTCTAGCTGCTGTCGTGGTTATCCTTAAATAGCTGTGGACTGTTGATAATGTTACTCATATTTCGAACATATGCCAACTTAAATAGAAGGAAAGGCATTTTAGAAGCCATGGTTTGGCATATTGAAATGATAAAATTAAGATGATAATGTATCGTATCTTAAAAAGAACTTCTAGTTAACACTATAGAAAATGTACGTTTTGTGACTTATTTCGCCGAATGACTTATTTCATATACAATGTATATGTATATGTTTTGTTATTTTAAATCGAAAAAGGTAAAGCTTTGATATGGTCAAAATTAAAGTTTGTCAGTAGCACTCTTTAGATGTTGGCTTTAAAAGCATAACCTTGGTTTTACCAAAATATTATTGGAAGGCATAAAAACAAGACAATTAATACTCACCGTATTTTATACACGTGCATGTATATATAGGTGTTAGTGTTCATTCATGCTGTTCTACAGAAATCAGAAACTTCGACCAGGAGAATGTTTCTAATTTCTGTAGAACAGTACTAGGCTGTGTTTTCTATTTCTATTGTACGGTGTGAAACTGAATCAGTTGAAACAATGGAAACGGCCGACTAATACTTGATAAATCGCTTGTTTAGCTCACCTACATCGTTTGGAAATTGAAGTGAACTCAAAGTCTTTTACGAATTTGAATAGTACGTAAATTCTTATTTTAGACACATTATAATTAAAATGCTTGATGGAAAGAAGTCTTTCATTGAAGGACTTCACATTTTCTTTTTTTACAGTTTTACAATCAATTATCGGAAAATGTAAAAAACAACTTTGAACAAAGTCGGTTTACGTCTAAAATATATTTCGAACTAGATAGCAAGTGGATTGATCGGAGTGCTTCGAGACAATTATTTGAGACACATAGCCAATAAGTTATAACCAGTTCACTTCCAAACACTTCACCCCCTCCCAAACCATCACCCCAGGAAAGAGAAGAAAAGAAAGAAAGAAAACAACAGCTAGACACTTAAGTAATAAATTTATTTCAGGAAAATAAGGGAAGGGAAGTGTGTTAGATCTACTGGTTTTGTGGGGCAAGTTTCTTGATGTGAGAATTGAGCGGCTGGTGAAGTTTCTGGTGTAAAGGTATTTTGTTCCTGGTTCGAAAAAGCTTCAATTTGTGAAGCAACATTATTTATGCCCGCATATCTATCCTAGCTGAAAGGAGCAGGTCGTGAAGTGGTTGCGTCCGCGACCCGTATGCCTTCTAGATAGAGGTTTCTAAAGAGGTCTACATCTTGGTCTATTAAATTCTATTTTTGAACGTAATTAAACTAAGTTCGCTTGATTTATTATTGAGTTTATATTTTAACTTGTCATATTTTATTATTAAATTAACCAGGGTCTTTCAAAAAGATTTTGAAAGACCCTGAATTAACTAAAAGCAATTCTATCCCGGCTTTAATGAAAATTTGGCGCGGGATCTTATGAAGGGACTAGTTCATCAGTAATTCGGTGTGTGTTCAAAATTTGCTGTAAATTCAATTATTTTCATTCCAAAATCCAAGGACTTTTATTCATATTTAATTCAATATGAACAGTAGTTTGTTTTGTGATTTTATCTTTTTTTAGCAAAAATAATATTGACATTGCCTATAAAAAGCTGACTAATGAACTTGTCCCTCGAACGCCATTTGCAAACGGGATGTCGGCCACGACAAGGTGCCCATTTCATTAAAAAAAATTCAGAAGTCTGTCTTTCCGTAATCGTTTCTTAAGCCAGAAATCGGTATAAAGGTTTCAAGGTATTATATTCTATATACTTATATACTAATCTGGTTATTTTCTTTTCAGAAAATTGAGAAATGTTTAAATAAATTGGTAAATCGTGAACTTTTGTTTGTGTGTCAGTTACAAAAATGGCGGAGAGGATATTTACCTTAAATGTACAGCCGGGCTTCTCATTTGCATCATTTTTATATATATGAAGAATAATATTGTAAAACTTCCGTCAAATCACCTTTTTATTAATAGATGAGGCCTCGTGTTACGCTGATTTGATTAATAAATTCATTATAATTATTAAAAATTACCTCCCCTTTTTGACAAGGGAGGGAATCTTGTTGTGTTATACAGAAAACGATTCATCCCACTCACGATTCGTCCAATTTTATGTGTAGTATTTTGTATTTATTTGAAAATATAACTGTTATGGTTTTTGTTCAATAAGGTTATTGTTTTTGTACAGTAAGGTATTCATGATTTTTTTGTATGGTTTGTACATACTGTATGGTATAATAAAATGACCTTTAAAATTAAAACTAAAAACTGTGCAGTGCTCATTCATGAGAGTTATTAAGACCCTTTCACCAGTTTTGGCTGGTAGAAACAATTGTAATTTACGCTTGTGGATGGAATGGAAGCATCTGAATACTTAATAGATTTAAGAAGAAACAGAAACTACATAAAAAAAACAGCCAGAAAATTGGCCTAAAAAACTGAAATGCACCCATAAACACTTTTGATATAGACTACGTGAATAATGGAGGTTTATCGATTTAACAGATACGAGTTGTTTCCCTTATTTTCAAGTAAAATTGATATCTCTTACCGTAAGAAGATATCTCCACCTAAAAACAAAACAAATAAAACAAAACAAAAATGAATTGCTGTGAAAGAATAAAATAAGCAGCAGCTTTTCTGATTAAATGTATAAAATATAAAAAAAATATCTTTACTGATATGCTTTATCATATTAATTTTTAAAAACCAAAATGTACCTTGGAATATTTAATGGAAAAAGAAATAACAAATGTACAGGTACTCCCAAGTAAATCAAAGACATATAAGCAATCAATAATTGACACTTCAAGTATGTAATTCTTATCAGTTGTGTAGAGCTATTTTCAGCACTGTCAAATTGCAGCCACTGAATTGTCGCGCTTCAGTGCACAAGGTATAAACAATTGCCGTGTGTAAAGCATTTTATACACGGCTTATACTGCCTGTTGACATTTTTAATGAGTGCGATTTGACATATGTAGGATTTGATAGGTAATTAGGGTGGATTAAAGGTAATTATTATTGCATAGCTGAAAATCCCATGTGGCAAATTGACTCTTGAGCAGATTTTATCATGTGTCAAATTTGTGCATTTATGATTTTCACGAGTCAAAACCCGGATCCCCGTTTCAATCGAGAGCCCTGCTCTTACGGCTTATGCTCAAACAATACAAATTTAGCCATTTTTAAACCGCTAGTTTGTTGTGATTAAATATTCGATTTTAAAAATCATACATCAATGGAAAGCTTTGGATCTTAGCTTTGTCACAGTATATACTTCAACACATCTTTTGACACCAAAGTATTTAAATTAACTGTTAAACCTACGATAAGTCAGACCATTTTACATACAATTTATACATCAAGATACACAACTGGTTATGTTTACTCGAAAAACTACTGATAGGAATAGCCTGTTGCTTCTAGTTGGGAAAGTGTTTATGGGTGTATTACTGATGAACTTATTCAAATATAAATACACAATTACTCTCTTCACAGAGTTTCATTTAAATGGAGAGGAAGTTATGACATCATACACTTAAAATCTGTCTCAAAGATTAATTATCTCGCAAGTTCACATTTTTCGTGAGATTTTCCGGGACCATGTTCTGCCATGTTGAATTGGCAAAGGACAAAAAAGATTTAAAAAGATGATAAAAATTAAAGTATTTGCAAATATCTTTGAATTAGATGAAATAATAACATAATGGTAACTGCTCAAGACTAGTAAACAATATCTATATCTTACACATTTTATTTCATAATCCCACACCTTTAACATATTTCTATCAGCCTGTTGCAAGATGGTTTGGTGAGCCGGTAAAATGTCTGTTGTGAATGTGTAGTAAATGATCTTAATTTAAGTCATGTTATCTTGAATTTGTGAAGTAACAAAAAAGTAGTGGAAATCGACCAACTTCAAAGGCCAATGCATCTCGCGCAAGGGACTGTAGGTCTGGATTGGAAAATTTTCTATTTTCAGAGCTTCTTATCCCTCCTTATTATAAGTCTCTGCTCCCATTCATTTATTGTTGGTTTAAATACAAAAAAACAACAACAAAAAAACAAACAAACAAAAACACACACAATGTGATCCACTCATAATGACATTGATGTAAGTATGCATTGTGAACACTACACATGTATAAATTAACTTTACTAGCTATAGGGAATGCAGCTTCTGAAACATAGTTTGAATATTCTAGCTCTTATCAGTTTGTGTGAGCACTAAGTAGTTTAAAATATATAGTGAATAACCTTTTATTCTCATGATTTTTAGCTTGACTATTTGGAGACTGGTCCCCGAGCATCAAAGTAACCACTTAAGTTAAAGTTTGCGTACCACCTCAAATATTTTCAAAATCAAACTTTGCACACTTGCAAAACCAAAAAAGTGTTGTTTTTTTTTTCAGTTCGTACTTTCAATTTTGGCTGTCAGACATAGAAGTTTTCAGTTCTCCCAAATTTGACTAACATTTGACATGTGTATAAATGGTTATGATATATTTATTCACAGATGGAAGATTACTATACAATCCAGACACCCGGTCATCATAGTACGATGTTTGCGGAGCTACATGTGCTGCAAAAACAAGGGGTCATGTGTGATGTCATACTTGCTGCAGAAGATGGAGAAGTCATGGCACATAAGGTATCATATGAACTTGAATTTGTTTATTATGTAAAGATATATATGAGCCGCGCCACAACAAAACCAACATAGTGATCAGCATGGATCCAGACCAGGCTGGGCATCCGCACAGTCTTATCAGGATCCATGCTGTTCGCTATCAGTTTCTCTACTTTTTATAGACTTTGTAAGCGAACAGCATGGATCCAGATCAGACTGCGCGGATGTGCAGGCTGGTCTGGATCCATGCTGGTCGCAAAGGCACTATGTTGGTTTTGTTGTGACGCAGCTCATATATATTCTTCATGACAATGTATTTAAATGCATTAAGGTCCTGAAGATTTAGTGTTACTTTGATAGTTTAACCTCTACCATGTGCAGTCTTTGCATATGAGACTTTGGTGCTTTTACAGTGGGCCTTTTTAAATTTAATTAAAAAGTGTCTGCACATATATTTTCTGAGATATTTAAATTTTATTTTCAATAGTAAAATACAGTTTCTATTTGTGTAGAACATGATCAGACTGCAAGTACAGTGAGGTTAACATGGCTGTACTGTTGTCATAGATAAGTTATTACTAACCAGCTAAATTTGTAAAATGGACTTGTCCTGCTTTTGAATTTGGAACAGACCATTACAAAAAACATGTACAAAAATTGAGCAAGCAAAAGAATATAGCAATAATAAGTCTGGGCATGGTAGTGCCCAAAATTGAGGTAGCAGTGTCTTATGACCATCAGGATGTTGTATTTAGGGGAAAATTAGTTTTGAAATCATGTCTTTCTGCTATATTTGCAGCACTGTATTTATAATCTGCAAATTCAAAAAATCTCGAATTAATTCTTTGTTTTCATAATTATTTATTATGCAAAATAGCACCTGACCTTGGCTTGAATCAAATAAACTATTAAACAATGACATAATGAAAACATTGCATTTATCACTAACATGTATTGTATAAGAAATCTTGATTGTTATTAAACATCATAGCAACTAGATGTGAAGTTGTTTAACAGATTCAAATTTCATTATCTATTGTTTTAGTCTTTTAGACCTATTTAGTACATGTACCACTGGTTTTAAATTTTATTTTGACTCATAAGAAAGAACATGATTGTAAAATAACTTCAATGCATTTATTTTAAGCAAGTAAACCTACTCAACTCCTGCAAATGATAAATTTCGTGTACTTGAAGAGTCACGAGGGAGAGCTATTGTACTAACCATGCGGTGGCCATCATACTTTGCTTAAAACAGAAGGGGATGGGTTGAAATTTCACACACATGTTCTCTCTGATTATTTATTGTAATCTTACATGATAGGTACAGGTACCATAAATCTGAGTTACTTTTTTTTTACAGAGTTATGCCCCTTTTCTTTCTGTCAAGCACTGAGAATAGTCAAGTGCACTGACTTAATTTTTTGTGCAAATTAATTGATGATCCAAGAAGCTGTTAACTCTTACATTTAAGAGAAAAAAATATATAAGTATTATTAAAAAATACCAGTGAAATTATTAAAGCTCAATTCAGCAGACCTTAAAAAGGGGAAAAATGGCCCTGCTGAAATTTGTTAACTGATGATGATTTTATTTCAATTTCAGGTTGTGTTAATGGCTGCCAGCAAGTACTTTAGAGAAAAGTTATCCCCAGTTATAGGCCCTACTGCCTCCAAAATCTGTCTAAAAGGTATCTCAGTGGTGGAGTTGGCAAACCTAGTCAAGTATATCTACACAGGAAAACTTCTAGTTGCTAAAGAAACTATGGATATCACTTTAGAGATTTCAGAAATTCTTCAACTGCAGGGAGTGATGCATGGTTATAAAGAAATAATAACATATGAGCAAATGAAAGAGAACCCAAGTAATGCTGTTCCTTTCAAGTCTGAATACAACTCAAATAAGACTCCTCCTCCGCCAGAAGCTAATACTAGTTATACTGAAAAAACTTATTCACCACAGAAAACAAATGCTCAGATACCAAAAGCTGTTGAACCTGTTACTGCTACTCCAGATGAGCTTGCGGTAAGCACTGTTTCTAAGACAACATCAGACACCTTAGGTTCACAGTCCCTTGTTGCTTCGACAGAGACAGCTTCCTTGTCTTCTGTTTCACAGGCAGATGCAATCCAGGATTCCAATGTGCCAGCTAATGAACCGGCTGGAGATGGTGTAGCTCCTAATGCACACAATGTAGATAATGCTGGAGATGCTGCTGATGTTAACAATACTCAAACTTCATCCACTGATTTTAACTTTGACTCCCTGTATGACCAGCAGTATATGGATGTCTCAGCAGGAGCCCGAACTCCATCAAAAAATCCTGGGACAAGCACACAGCCGTCTGCTGTCACACTACCCAAACTGCAGCAGATGGCACCAAATCCATCAGAGAGTCAGAAAATAGCTGAGGAAAGAGCCCAGCATCAAGATTTACTTGCAGTTGCCATAGAGACCCTTTCAGATGTTCCTTATTTGAAGCAACAGCCACATCAACCAGAAGTTGATAAAGCAGTATCTAGTATTTCTGGTCCTGATGCAGCACAACCTACGACACAGGCAATACCTCAACATGTTATTGGGATGAAACCTGAAGAGGAAGATCTTGAAGATTATGAAAATGGTCTAACTTGTACGAAAACAGTTACTATGAGTGCAGGGTCTGTCAATAACGAATTAGGTGGAAAAACAGATGTGTACACTGTTGCTTTAGACCCTGCAACAGTAAGGTCACCCTTAAAGATGCCCAGACCTAAAAGGACAAAAACAGCAAAAGAAAAAGAAGCAGAAGAAAAAGCTAAAAAGTATCGACATATCAAGGCAGTATTAATGTCTGGTGCATCCACTGATACAAAACCACTCCCTATAACTGATGTGGAACCAAGACGAGGAAGTAGGCAAAAGAATTCAACTACCAAGCAGGATTTTCAATATGAAAGCCTCTCAAAAACGAAAAAGAAAGTATTCAGTCCAAAGATTGTTTTAATTCCTAAAGATTCTGTAAGTGATCCTCCATCGGGAAAAGAAATACAAAGTAGGTCCAGCAAAACGGAAACAGATCCAAATTCTAAATGTCTTCCAAAGGTAATAAAAGTCCAGTTAGGAGAAAAAATTAAAGTTCCAAAGGAAGAGAAGATAGAAGCTGAAGGTGATAACTTTGGACAAGTGGTAAACTTTGATAGTGAAAGTGATGATGATGTTAATGGAATGATAGTTAATGATATGTTAGAAGCTTTCCAAAGTGATGATGAAAATAAGAAAAAAAGTTCTGGTAAAAGTAAAGACAATATTGGTACATACCTAACTAATCTAAAGGAAAGTCAGAAAGAGAGGGGTGTTATGAAAAGCCAGTCACTAACTAAGAAAGGGGGCAATAGTAATGATGCTAAATTAGACAATAAAAGTACAGGTGATACTGGAAAAGAAGAAGACACTTTAAGTGTTCAAACCAACAATGTAGAATCTGAAACAATGTCACCAGATAAAAGTATTGAGACTGATAATATTAATGACGATGCAAGTGAAGTTAAAGGACTTCCAGATGATTTGCAGGTGCATGACATTGATGAGGCTACTGCTGAAAGAATGAAGTCAAGTTCAACCAAGCGTAAAACAAGAACACCAAGGAAACTACCAATATCTGATGAAGAGAAAGGCAATGATCCTGTTACTGACCGGCATGACAAAATACCTGTAGTTAGATCCAGGCGGTCCAGTAAGAGTTTAAATCTTGACAGGGAAAAGGAAGGCAAAGCAATAAAACATGACTCTGATAATGATAAATGTAATGAAACAAAGAGGAAGAAGTTAAGAACAGATTTTGAAGGAGGCAATGTTGATTGTAAGGATAAAGATCTGTCTAAAGCAACAGAGATTAAAATAATTGCACAAAGTAAAGTTGATGAGAAAGCACTTGGAGAAGCAGAGAAGCAAATAAGTGAAAGCCAGTCCAAGAAGATAATCATTGTCCCAAGATATTACCAACCAGAAATAAGACTGAAAAAGCGGACGACTGAAGAAATGCTAGAGTTAGCAAAAGAAATACCAAAAAATAAAGAACAGGCTTCATCAGGTGAGTCTGAACTTGAAGTAACTCTGTATGAAACTGAAGAAGGTGATGAAGATGATGATTATGAGGATTATGAAGAAATGTCTGCAGATGATTTTGTAGAAGACAGCAAAAAACATGAAACACATGTTGATGCAGTAGCAAAAAGGAAGATGAATGAATCATTTAAATCCTCTCCAGTTAAGAAAAGAAAAACCGGCAATCAAATGAACCTTTCAGCTGAATTAAATGAAGCCAGTAATGACATAACAAAAAGTAACTTGGCCAGTAAAACTATTGTTAAAAACATAGGAGGTAAGAAGATAATTGCAAAATCATTCATAATTAAAGATGTAACCAAAAGGTCAGAGACTGAGGAGCAAAAATTCAAGACAAAAGTTGAAATTGACAATGAAGATGATGAAATTGATGTTGTAACAAAAAAGGTGGTGAGTAGTAATAGTCCTGCAGGGAGAATGAAAAATAAAGGAAAGGGATTAAGGAAAAAGAAGAGTGTTGCAAGTAAGGAGAAATTGGGAGAAGAAATACATGAAGATGTGTCCAAAGAATCTGATGAAGACGATGCTGAGATAGACTTTTCTGATTATATGGTGTATGTTTGTTCAACAGATGTAAGAATATTTGTTTATTAGATATGTTGATGTTTGGTTGTTAGTACTATCAGGGTTTAATCACATTTAAAGAATGTAGGGATTGGATTCAAACTTTATCCGTACACTTCCAGTGATTAAACCTTCTAGCAGAATGAACTCCAATGATTCTTGCTGTATGAAATGGTTCTTGAAATAAGTAAAAAGGCCCCTTAGATATTTAAATCTTTCAAGCAGTATAAAACTTTCTTCTCAATAATCTGTGAGTGTTTGACTTGTCGGATTCATTCAGAGTCATAATTGTAGGTCACTGACCAAGGCCTATAAATCTGGCATGGTTTTTACTACTTTGTTCCCCATGCTTTTTTTTCAGAAATGAAAATATAATGTTTTAATATTTTTAAGTACTCTTGATGATAATGTTGAGTTTAAACATTTCTTATTTTCAACATAAAGTGATTGTGAAATATTTTTGTCTTTATCAAACAAACAAAAATGAAATTGATAGTTTCGTATTTATATTTTTGTTCTATTTTCACTTTCTGTAGGACTGCCGATTTTCTTCCAAGAGTTTAATAGATATGAGTGAACACAAAGAGATGTGTCATACGTCTCCTGCAGTAAGTATTTTGTGATCTTAATTCATTGAAATTTCTAACTTATAATCCTGCTCAAAATGAGGCATGTAGAATTATTTCAACTTATTTTGAGTTCGAACAGAGCTTTTATTCTGTGTATGAGTAAAGGTTCTATTCTGAAAGGGCGTCTAAACATCTCAAGTTGGTGTTTCTTTAGTATTGAAGTATTAGTTAAAATTTAAATAATATATTTTTGTAATATGATGCTAATAAGAAGTAAACAAATATTTAAACAGGTAAAAGGAGAGACAATTTTTAGCTCACCTGTCACAAAGTGACAGGGTGAGCTTTTGTGATCGCTTTTCGTCCGGCGTCCGTCCGGCCTTAAACTTTTACTTTAAATGACATCTCCTCATAAACCACTAAGCCAATTTCATCCTAACTTCACAGGAATGTTCCTTTGGTGGTCACCTTTAAAAATTGTTCAAAGAATTTAATTCCATGCAGAACTCTGGTTGCCATGGCAACCGAAAGAAAAAACTTTAAATATCTTCTTTTAAAGAACCCTAAGAGCTAGATCTTAGATATTTGGCATGAAACATCTTCTAATGAGTGTCTACCAAGTTTGTTCAAATAAAAGCCCTGGGGTCAAAATTGGCCCCGCCCCAGGGAGTCTTTGCTTTTCCCTATATGCATATAGTAAAAACTTTAAAAATCTTCTTTGAAAGAACTCAAAGAGCTTGAGCTAAGATATTTAGCATGAAACATGTTCTAATGGGTGTCTACCAAGTTTGTTCAAATAAAAGCCCTGGGGTCAAAATTGGCCCCGCCCCGGGGGTCATTGATCTTCCTTATATGTGTATAGCAAAAACTTAAAAAATCTTCTTTGAAAAAACCCAAATAGCTAGAGTTTAGATATTGAGCTAGTGAGTGTCTACCAAGTTTGTTCAAATAAAAGCCCTGGGGTCAAAATTGGCCCCGCCCCAGGGGGTCTTTGATTTTCCCTATATGCATATAGTAAAAACTTAAAAAAAATTCTTTTAAAGAACCCAAAGAGCTAGAGCTAAGATATTTAACATGAAACATCTTCTAATGGGTGTCAACCAAGTTTGTTCAAATAAAAGCCCTGGGGTCAAAATTGGCCCCGCCCCAGGGTGTCATTGATTTTCCCTATATGCATATAGTAAAAACTTAAAAAATCTTCTTTTAAAGAACTCAAAGAGCTAGAGCTAAGATATTTAGCATGAAACATGTTCTTATTGGTGTCTACAAAGTTTGTTCAAATAAAAGCTCTGGGGTCAAAATTGGCCCCGCCCCGGGGGTTATTGATTTTTCTTATATGTATATAGCAAAAACTTAAAAAATGTTCTTTGAAAAAACCCAAATAGCTGGAGTTTAGATATTAAGCATGAAACATCTTCTAGGGAGTGTCTACAAAGTTTGTTCAAATAAAAGCCCTGGAGTCAAAATTGGCCCCGCACCGGGGGTTATTGATTTTCCTTATATTTGTATAGCAAAAACTTAAAAACCTTCATTGGGGTTTAAACTGGCCCCGCTCCGGGTGCCTTTATACAGGTGAGCGACCTCAGGGCCATCATGGCCCTCTTGTTTTACAGTATTATGAGTATACAACTTGGTTATTAACCTTCTTTTTGAAGACTTGCTAGGTGTTTATCCAGATGCTTAAATAAAGCAGCTTAAGATGTTGTTTATAGAAAATAGACTGTCAGAAAATTTAAAATTTAGGACAAAAAAGCAAAGCTTAAAGGTAAATGCATGTAGACGGAAAGGTATATTAGAGTTTTATTAGTCCCTTACCGGTTTACCGGAGGGGACTTTAGGTTTACCCTCCGTCCGTCTGTCTGTCCGTCCGTCCACAAAACTGGATCACACGATAACTTGAAAAGTACTGAAAATATTTTTAGAGAAACTTGATATATGGATAGATGGCAGTATGGAGATTATGCACGTCTTTTTCTTTTCTTCCTATGTTGAAAATTCTGGTTGCTATGGCAACAAATAGGCTGAAAATATGGCAAATTTTACACATAAACTGGATCCAGTGATAACGCAAAAAGTACTGGAAATATTTTTATGAAACTTGAAATATGGGTAGATGGCAGTTTAAAGATTATGCATGTCTTTTTCTTTTCTTCTTATGTTGAAAATTCTGGTTGCTATGGCAACACATAGACTGAAAATATGGCAAATTTTACACATAAACTGAATCCAGTGAGAACTCAAAAAGTACTGGAAATATTTTTATGAAACTTGACATATGGGTAGAGGGCAGTCTTGAGATTATGCATGTCTTATCTGTTCTTCCTATTTTGTAAAAATATTGGTTGCCTTGGCAACAAATAGGCTTAAAACATGGCAAATATAACAATATTTGTGATTAGTCAAAAAGAGCTGAAAATGTTTATGAAATTGCATCTTTAATTCAAAAGTTATCTCCTCTTTAAGAATTTTGCTTTTATAATGTTATATTTTGGTAACCGGGATGTTTCAAATATTAAACTTGACATATGGGTAGAGGGCAGTCTTGAGATTATGCATGTCTTATCTGTTCTTCCTATTTTGTAAAAATATTGGTTGCCTTGGCAACAAATAGGCTTAAAACATGGCAAATATAACAATATTTGTGATTAGTCAAAAAGAGCTGAAAATGTTTATTAAATTGCATCTTTAATTCAAAAGTTATCTCCTCTTTAAGAATTTTGCTTTTATAATGTTATATTTTGGTAACCGGGATGTTTCAAATATTAATTTTAGAGTGTCCTTCAGTCCGTCTGTCTGTCTGTTCATAAAAACTGTTTCCTGTGATCACTTTTAAAGAACTTTTCCAACAAATTTACTTAAAATAGAGAAAAATTGAAACATTAGTGAATGGCCAATGGCCCTTCAGAATGTTGATGGGTTTCTTACCGGTAGGGGACTTATGGATTGCTTGCAATACTATAATAATTGCTTGTTTGTCTTCCTTTTCAATGTGTTTGGAGAAAATTATCATTAAATTGCAAAGAATTTTGCCATAAAACATACTGAAAGGGAATAAATATACTCTAATAAAGAGAAAAGTTTGAATGCTTTTTATCCTTAAATTGTCGAATTTATATTTATCATGATTTAAGTATTACAACCTTAATTCAATCTCATTAAAATAAGATAAAGAGGATATTTGTTTAGTTCAATGTAAGATCGGAATATATTTCACTGAGTGAGCACCAAAAGGTATTTTTCACGAGTGGTGCAGCCGCAAGTGAAATATGAATTTTTGGTGTTCACAAGGTGAAATATATTTTGATCTCGCACTAAACGAACAAATTTACTATTTATTATATGCAAAGAAGCGTTTTAAAAAGACATAAAACCTAATACTGAATGAAAATCGCGCCAAATAATAATAAAATGTGATGTCATTTACGACGTCAGGTCATTAAGTTGGTTCCCAGTACTGTGCAAGCTGGTATTTTAACTGAAACAACGTAAGGGGCTTAAATTCAAAACAGTGAAATTATCAAAATGATAATTTCACTTTTTTAAAGAGTGAAATTATCAGTGTATTTCTATTAACCACCAAAAAGCATGTAATAAAATCGTTTTCACTCTGTTACTCTTTGCTATGAATAGATCTGACTACATTGCTGTGTCGGGTCACCTACCTAGCAAAGGGTAGTGGAGCAACAGTTAGGATATGATTTTAATGAGATTGATCTCATTTAGGTAAGTAATTTAACACGGTGCATTATATCAACCTGCTGGAACGTAAAGTTTACCACCATTTTTGAGCCAAACCAGTCTTACCAGGCTCTATACACAATACAGTTGGCAGTCCAGTTTTAGTATCTAGATACTGAAATCCCTTAAACTTTGAATGGACTGTTCCAAATTCAAAGCTGAGCAAGTCCATTACACAAATTCAGCAGGTTAGGTGTTTAGAGAATAGTTAAATTTATTTATTCATGTTTTGTTTATATTTTTGTCATATATTCTTACTATAGGTGAATACACAAGATACTGAAAAGGAAGATACCAAGAAAAATGGTGAGGACCTTACATATATATGAGCCGCGTCATGACAAAATCAACATAATGGGTTTGCGACCAGCATGGATCCAGACCAGCCTGCACATCCGCGCAGTCTGATCAGGATTCATGCTGTTCGCTTACAAACCCTATTACAAGTAGAGAAACTGATAGCAAACAGCATGGATCCTGATCAGACTGCACGAAGGCACAGGCTGGTCTGGATCCATGCTGGTTGCAAACCCACTATGTTGGTTTTGTCATGACGCGGCTCATATATTTTTTTAAAAGCTTAATTTCCATTTGTAGGTTTGAGCTCATAAAAAATTGAATTAAGGAAATTTTGAGAATTGTCATACAATGTACATTTATTGTCTAAATGAGACTGCTGGAACTAAAAGTGATTGCCCTTTACCACCAGTATAGAGCCAGACCAGCCTGCACATCCATGCAGTTTGACTAGAGCTGTCCTCAATAGAGATGCTATAAGTCCGTTATAAAATTCAGCAGCATAAGGGTTGAAATGTAAAAAATCAATAGAATTTTCAACTTGCTTGCCAACCTTTTTACAGTATTGTTGCTAAATATATGTTTCCGGACTGCTGTACAAATTCTTTCATTTGATGAATCTAGCTGGCATATAAAAGGTTGGTGGTTTCACTCTGGTGACCTCAGATGATTGAAATAATGCATTGAGGTGCAAAGTTCTCGGATCTTTCTCCACCAGGAAAACAGGAAATTTGTCAAGTGACCTAAACAGTGTCTAAATATGAATGCAACAAAATGCTTGTTAGCAGTATTGAAATAGTTTCAAATAATGTAATTTTGTTTTCTTCAAATTTAAAGCTAAAGTTGGGCCTGAAAGTTGTGCACAGTGTGGAAAGACATTCAAGACACGAAAGATCCTGAAAAGACACATTGAATACTCTCATACAGGTTTGTTATATGAGCCGTGTCGTGACAAAACCAACATAATGGGTTGGCGACCAGCATGCAACAAGTATAGAAACTGATAGCGAACAGCATGGATCCTGATCAGACTGCGCGGATGCACAGGCTGGTCTGGATCCATGCTGGTCGCAAACCCATTATGTTGGTTTTGTCATGACACGGCTCATATGTTTTTAGCTCCACTGTTTGAGGAATAGGGAGACCTATTGTACTCACCTAGGCGTCACACTTTGGTTTAAGTTTTCGCGTGCAAGTTGGTATCTCCAAAACTACTGAAGAATACGAATTGAAACTAAATACTCATATTTGAGAGCATAATAGGAGGTCACTGTCTGAGGACCATACCTTAAACATGGATTTTGGCAGAATTATGACCCTTTTTTAATCTTAGAAAATTTGATATTATCCAGGCTCTTGTTATACTTAGTGACATTATGCCCATCCAAGGGTATAAATGAGTGAACATGTGAAAGTCAAAATGAATTTTTTTTTTGCCATTTTTCCTTTTAATATAAAAATTTATTTCACATAAACAATAAACAACACACGGATCAAAAAAACTCCGCCTAGCGGTGCTCTTGTTATTAAATGACTTTAATTACACTCCTGCTATGTGGTTTATGTGATAAACTGTATTTCTATTCCATTGTAGAGAAGGAGAAGATACAGTGTGAGCATTGTGATTTTGCAACCCCGTATAAATCCAGCATGTCGACTCATCTCATGATATCACATGCAGCTAAAAAGGTACGCTTTTTATATGTTCTATTTCAATGGAAAATGGGCATTTTCATATAACAAAGAGTTATGTTGTTGTTTTTTTGCATGCACATTCATATCTGTTTAAAAACTGAGGGCAGTCATGTAATTGTAGGTCATTTTGGTTTGTACAGAATTTATTGTAGTTCGATTGTGTAGGAAGCTATAAGCTTAAAGACACTCTTTTGAATCTGTTCCTGGAACCAACCAGTAATGAGCAATGAGAATATATTTTCTTGCTTAAGGACACAACGACTTGCCCCTGAACCCATGCGGCTAGCGATCATTAGATTACTAGTCCGAAGTGTTAACCACTATGGCCATGCCGCCATTCAATGACCCATAGGTCATTTTGCAAATCTGTGCAATTTACAGTAGGTAAACCCATTTAGTTCACGCCAGGGCTCGTAAGAATTTAATTGTGTTGAATTCAATAAACTTGAAATAACTCGTAAGTGATTGGAAGTAAAAATGTTGCAGATACTTTTGGCTTAAGTCTTGTAGTTATCTTAAGTAAACACTCCACTTAATAAAATAATTGGTACACAGGGCTCCAGATAAGATGTGTATTGTGTAAATTACTTATAAAAAACACAGATTTACGCATACAATTAAAATTTCAAAATTGTGAATACGCAATGAACAACATTTCTCCCGTGTAACCGAAACTTGAACTTATTGCTGATCACACATGTGTGAATAAGTTATATAGAATTTCCCTCATTTTCGCTCTTCAAAACATCAAAGTGAAATCAGTAAATACTCATCTGGAGCCCTGCGTACATTATTTGAGCAATTAATTGCACCTCAGACTTACTGTTGGTTAAGCTTAACATTATCACACTGTTGTTTTTATATCATAACTTTCTCTGATATTTCAGGCTATGTTTATGTGTAAATTCTGCGATTATGGGACACCTTTGACCGGGAATCTACGAAAACATTTGTATAGTGCACATAGTCTCATTGTTATAACAAAACAGCACAAAAAGTCAGCTGAATATGAAAAATTTGACGAGGGTACGATCATAACAAAAGATCATCAAGTCTTTGACCCAGAAACAATGAAAGTACCGAAAACCGCCAAAAGAAAAGCACACAGTAATAAAGACTCTGATGAAACTGCTACTAGTGACAGTCAGGTCAAGGCGGAAGATAAAAAACGCACTAAGATATCTTTAAGCAAACTTCCTGTTGAAGATTTCCTCAAAGAAATGATGAAACGACATCAAGAATATGTTCAACAGCCAGAAAAAAAATATTCTTTCATGAGTAGCAGTATTGCAGTGGCGACAGAACATCCTTCATTTCCACAAGCCTCGCCACAGGTCAGAAATACGCGAGCCAACAAGATTTACAACATGAAAAAAGTAAAACCGACCTTTACAGTCCAGCCCGAGACGACTGGACTGTATGGGATGGGAAATGTTGAAGGTATGTATCATCAAGGTACAGCAACTGTTCCGCAGGTAGCGAGTGAGGTGGAAGTAGAACACGACAACCAGCCGGAAGTTGTTCTTGAAAATGTTGAAGACGATGCCTCTACAGCTGTTCTTACGATTAGCGAACAGAAAGGTATTGATGGGTCAGAAATGATCTTGATAAATCAGAATGGTAAACGCACTATTGTGCGGTCAAAAGATTTTTACGATACTCTTCAAGCTACGGGCCATGATACAAATCAGACATTTGGTGTTATATCAGCCCTGCTACAAGCAGGAGAACAGATTGAAATAAGAGAACAACAAGAAGAAATTGTTGAAATACAGAACATGTAATTTCTGCATTGTGTCTGTTTTTAGTCTAAAATCTTTACGTATCGTTAAGTATGAGTGACTTAACTATTTAGAGAAAGTAATATCAGATTTATATTTTAAGATAAGTTATTAGTATCGAAAATGTGACCAAATTTTCTGTAAAATTTATCATGATAAAACTGATAGTAATGTACCAAAATTAAGAAAAAAGTAAAGTGAACAAGTTAAAACTACTGGAAAATAAAGAGCTTAGGAATGACATATCGTTTTTTTTTATTGTTTTAGAATGCCATACTTTTTTATTGTTCTAGATTTTTATTTTCCTAAATACTTTTTATGCACATTTTGCAAAATCTGTTCTTTTCTCCCCCCCCCCCCCCCCTTTTTTTGCATGTATATAAATATATATATATATGTCATAGATACAGAAAGTATTATTGTAATTAAATTTATGTGTTTCACATGATTGTAATAGTGTGTCTACTCCATGTCATTTACTTAAATGTTCACTACAATGTATAAGACCTAAATTTATAGTAAATATTAATATTTCTCAGTTTATTTTTCTGTAAAAATTTACATGTTTTTTCCTAGCTTTTTCATAGTGTATTGGAGAGCAGACAAAATATTTTTATTTCAAGAAAGTCATGTTTTTTGTAAGAATATTTTGTAAAATCATCTCACCACAGACAATTTAACCCTTGCAGTGTCTATTCTAGGAGGGGGGATTTACTCATATTTTTGAGAATTCCTCCCTATTTTTTCAGAGACGGGGAAAATTTTACATAGAGAAAGAAGGAAAAAAATCAACAAATGTAATAAATTCTCACTTTTCCATAAAAATCCCCCCTGATTTTCAAATCCTAGACTAAACACTGCCTTGCCTTTCTGAAACTGTAAAAAATAATGAGTGAGACTAAAAAAGGATTGGAGCACCACACAAAATACCGTATTCCAGTACTAGTACAGACCGGACAAGGTGATAAATTGATTAAATGCTAAAATTCGTCTTTTCACCAAACAGAATGAACTTTGAAATGTCTTTACACTAATTTATATACAATATTGAATGAAAAATGTAAGAATCGGAAAAATAATGTGTGTATTTTGTGGTCACGATTTTTGAAACTGTCTAGGTACTGCTCTAACAAACAATATCGAGTTAAATCCAAAAATAATAAGCCTTTCCCATCAGTATAGAGCTAAGCTAGCCTGCATATCTAAGCATGCTGACCAAAATTCTATACTGTATGGTAGCTATAGTAGTATTTTGATATTTAAATCTCTTAAACATGTTAAACGTTAAATTGACTGTTTCAAAATCAAATTCAACAGGTTGAAGTTACCATAATAACAAAGTTATTTTAAAAAGATGTATTACTAATCGTTCACACACATCTAGATGTTGTTAATGTGTTATTTATGGTTTGTAATCTAATTTTTTAATGAAAAGTTCAAAGAAGAAAAAATGTTTTGTTTGCTTTGGAATAAGTCACTTTTTATGATTTATTAAAGAAAGATATGGTATTCAATTGTTATTATTCTTTTCAGTATACTACGATCTTTCCATGTACAAACTGTTTAGTTATTGGCAATATCATCCTCAAGTATGGAGAGGTCAATTTCCAAACAAGAGCCAAATGTTTTGTTTTTAAGGTCAGGAGGATATAGGAACCTTTGCTCATGCCAGTTGGTCCATCTGACCACTAATTTCTGTACTATAACTGCTCTAGTCAATTGCTGATTGATTTATAGTTGTCAAACTTCATAGGGGACATTGTTGTAGAGATGACCTCAGTTTTGACGACCCTGGTTAGTTATCCAGGAAAGATGAGTATGTTAAAGATAGACCAATAGCAAAAATACAACCAAAATTGTGTTGAAATCGGCATAGAGACAAACACGTTACAAGATATTCTGCTATTTACCTTTATTATGCCCCCCTTGGAGGAAGAGGGGGTATATTGTTTTGCTAATGTCTGTTGGTTTCTTAAAAACTATCACAAAGTCTTCATATTTCACATACTGATTGGTCATAACTAGTAGATTACCCCTATTGATTTTGGGGTAACTAGGTCAAGGTCACAGGGTCCTTAAATGTCAGAATGGTTTCCGCTCATGATCTTGAAAACCATTTAGATCACAAAGCCTTTATATTTCACATGATGATAAGTGATATGTAGTAGATAACCCCTATTGATTTTGGGGTCACGAAAATCAAGGTCACAGGGGCCTTAAATTTAAGAATGGTTTCTGCTCTTTATCTTGAAAACTATTTATCACAAAGTCTTCATATTTCACATACAGATTGGTTGTAACTAGCAGTTCATCCATACTGATTTGTCATAACAGGGAGATAGTCCCCTATTGATTCTAGGGTCAAGGTCATAGGAGCATTAAATGTCAGAATAGTCATACATCGGTCATTACTTTTTTCCATAGCTGAACACTTCCACATACCCATTTATGGGATGTTTCTATTATAATAACAAAATTACCCATGATATGAGTCAAGGGCTAGAAAGGTTGGCATGTGTTGTTCAACATTTCTTGTTTGCTCGATGGTCTGACCCTCATTATTTTCAATCAGTAACTAGAAAATGCATGGGGATTTGGTGCATTGGTCTTAGAAAGTATATGACCTCAATTTAGTTTGGGGTCAAGGGCTATAAGGTCAAGGTTTTGTATTTCGAGTCAGGGTTCTAAGGTCATGGTCACATTGACCTATGCCAAAACAGCTTCCAACCAATAACTCAACAACACATCAGGCTTTAAAGGAGCATTGGTTTTGGACTGTAAATGACCTTTACTGATTTTAGGTGACTGGGACCTTGTGACCATGTTGATAGGTTAGTTTATATTTTAATTCAATACATGTTAACTAAACCACCATTGTTAACTGTGTTTCATTGCCATTTAACAATTTCCCAGTGTGTTGCTGCATAGTTGCCCATAATTCCATTATATGCAGTTTCTCTGTGACTGGTAATGGTTACTTATTCTTACTACCCTTTAAAGGTCATATGTAGCATTTCTTGTTAAGCATGTGTTTCAAGATCAAGAAGTTCAAAAGATTAAAGTTGTTACACAACTTGTATAGTCTAAAGATTTTGGTAGTCTTAGTAAATATGGTGAAGCCTCTACATAGATATTACCAAAGTCAAACATAAATTTGAGCAATATTGGTTTATTTGTAGCTTGCAAGTGATCCTTTTATTGGTTCAAAGGTGTTCACTACACAAGTATAAAAGAGGCTAACTTATTTCAGCAAACCTGGTCTGAGGGGCGCCTCAAGTTCTTCAAATGGCATAACATATATTGTCAGTGTGAGTTGAAATTCTACCCAGCATGCTGTAATTGGGTCTTTCTGTACATACATCTGCTTTTCAAGTAGGAACAAGCTATTACATTGCCAATGGCCAGTTAATGACCCTCATGGATAAATCAAGGACACTGTGGCCTTGACCCCTGAAAGCTTGTCCAGGAAACAACTAAATAAGGCTTGGGCCTACTCTCCTAAGATTTGGTATGGAGGTTGGTTACCTCTAGAAGATGATCCCTGACATCACTGATTTTGAGTTAATTAGGTTAATGCATGTACATGTAATACAGTACTTGACCAATCAATAACATGGGTTCATCAGTCATAGGTTTGTGTGGTCGAGTGCTTAACCCATTACGCGATATACACGCCTTTTTCACACACACACTCCTTTTTGTTGTCTCAAATGGTGAAAAAATGCCTTATTTAGGCCCAACACTTGTTTTTGTAGGCCCCAACACTTTTTTTTTGTCTGAGAAATGTTGTTAAAAAAAAGTGACCACTTTTTGTGTGGACTCCCAACCAAAAGATACATCAAGGGGTTGCCAGAAGGGGGATGTGCCCCCTTCTGTTTGGGGGGTTTGAAGGGGGGCGGCAGTCCCCCTCATCGCCAAGAAAATTTTGGACTTGTAAGAGGCTAAAATGACCCCAGAATGATCATAAGGTAATGTGTAACCAAGGCTGAAAAGCATTTGACTCTATCTCAATCCCTTGAGAAGTTGCAGCACTTTGAAATCAATTTTGATGGAAAAAATCAATGCAAAATAGTGATTTTTGGCAAGTTTGAGATGTCCCCTCGTTGCCATGGTAACAGAAAATTTAAGCCTAAGCATGTTGTTGCAAAGGCAACGCTCCAGTCAACATTTGTGCCAAGTTTGATTAGTATTGAAGCATTTTTTATAGTTTTATAGCAATTTGAACTTGTAACGGGATACTTTTCAATGAAAACAGCCATTTTTCACAAAATGCTCATGATGATGAAGTAATGGGTTAATGTTGTTGACTTCAAACCACTTGATCATCACTGCTGTGGGTTCAAATCCTGAGGGGGATGCACAGACGAACAGTGCGATTTTTAATATGCTGCCCTTTGGGGCATAAAAAAGTAAATACACGTATTAACATAATTTCATACTTTTTATACAGATATTTTTATTTTGTAATAATTACATATTAATAATTCACTTAAGCATCATATACAGAAATTGCAGTAAAAATTGTTATTTATACAACAGTAACTTTTTAATCAATCTAAATTTGCAGCAAGGGGTAATAATGGAAACTTAAAATAGATTATCCCTATTAACTGCAATTAAAATACAAGACTGCTCTTGATTTAACCCAAATGAATCAACAGCTTACGTAATATCATCGTCGGATACCCACGATTGATAAACATGTCACATAACATGATGAATGATAATGGTTCGGCCGTGGGTATCCGACGATGACGTAATATATGATTTATTCTAAGGCTTACTTTAAATTCATGACCAAGCTCAAACATAAACATACTGAACTTTTAATTGTAACTACATAATCAAAGGATTCTTTACATATAATATTAATTTTGTAACAAAGACGGAATGGCTGTCAAAGGTGGACCTCCGCAGTAGCAAAATGTTGTCAGAAAAAAGATGTACCATATTTTCTTTACTTTGTAAAGCTGGTTTATATTTTGTCCCAGTTTAAAGCATTAAAGCCATTAAAATTATAACACTGACTGTTTGTCTGCATTTGTTGATTAGATCAACTTTAAATCAAAATATCTGAAGTTAAACACTTTGAACTAATCCACTAAACAGCTATGTCAAAACTTTAACTTGAACATCATTTTTTGTACACAACTTTCACTTCCAGTTCTGGTTTATTAAACTCTCTCTCTCTTATCCAGTTAAGATATTAGTTAACAATCATATCTCATTGGCTGCATTTTTGAACACACTTGTCGCCCTCTTGAGTTCTATATCATTTAAAAAAATCACTAATTAGAAATCTTCATCATTGTTGCATCTGTGCTTGTAACTGTTTTACACGTTCCTCGTCTTGCTGTGACATTTGTGTTAATTTTTTACCGATTCTGTCGTGAATTTCCATATATTTACCTACACATCTGTCTATACACACAGTCTCTCCTTTTGTTAGGTCAGAGTCTTTATATCGAGCAGGTATGCATTTTTTCTGACAGGTTGTACTCATCCTGCAAACAAAACAACAAAAATATGAAGAAAATTCAGAACAACTGGTATTTATTAGCTCGAATTTACCGGAAAAAATATTAACATATGCACTTTCGCCTTCCATATAATTTTGAAAAGTGCCGTACGGCTAGCCAATACAGTGTGTCCAGGCTAGTCGTACGTGACTCACGTACGGCTAGAACTTTTGGCTAGCCGTACGGGCCCGTACGGCTAGCCACTTCCTATTATCTATACATGTAATTCATTAAAGCGTCCACTTCATGGGACACTGGAAGCTCGACAACTTATTTGGGTTGCCAACAGCTATATTGTGTTTTCAACTCTCTAAATAAAATAAAATGAAAAATGCAGCCATTAAAAGAAAACTTAATCGAATAATCTGAAAATCATGCGGCATTCATGTCCATACTTTATTTCATCACCCACGAAAACTGATGACAAACATGTGTATGGCAGTATATTTTTCTAAGTATTTTGTCATGGAACGATTTCGGTTTAATACAATTTTCAAATATATATCTTAAGATAATACAATGTAAATTTACTTCCACCTTTCTTACTTAAATGCATCTACCCGGTTTTTAGCAAAGTTTGACCTATCCACTCCCCACCCACTCTGTTTACCTATTGTACATGTCTGCCATCATTTCCATTTCAAGATCTGCGACTAATTTCAGCTGTGCCTCTGTAATTCCAGCCATTTTGAAACTATATATATCGTTTTCAATTACAAAGTGGTTTTCTAATGGCAACTGAAGCGACTTCAAATTAACCACGTGAATCAGCTGTCAAAATATACCGGAAGTTTACAACTTCGCGACAGTACTTTGATATCCGTTTCGTCGGTCCAATGAAATCCAATGTAACATGAATGCAAAATTATTTTAGCCAATCAGTGAAAATGTAATAAATAAGCTTTCAGACAAGAATGTTTTTGTGTTAGGAAAAAGAAAGTGACAGATGTCTATGCAAAATTTAGTCGTTTATGAAATTATATATAATTTAAAAAGTTAATAAAACCATTCCGTTTTGCTCAACATATATTCAGGGTAATATAGGCCAATTCGATTTTCTAAAGATTATTTTCCAAGGTTTTTAGACACTTTTGAAAGATGGGGGATTCAGAGCCAGACACAAAACTGTGTAATAACTGGTAAGTAAACTATGATATATCTTTATTCAACTTTTGCCATCATATCACATTTAAGGTTAGGATATGTTTCTTGGATAGGATATCAAGACCTCAAATATATGTTATTCTTGTAAATTTAAAGCCAATAACAAGGTTAAGTAATAATAATAATCGAAGTACAAGGTTGTCTAATTATCAGTTTTTATCATCTTTATCAAAATACGTAACTGATCACATTGATTTATCTAGAAACTAAAAATGGCAAAGATTCAAATATTCACTATTACTGACAGATCAATTTAAATAATAGGATTTTGACTGCCATAATTTCAATTCCCTTAAAATTGCCTTTGTTTCTTTTTTATGTTTCTGTTGTAAATCAGCATACCGTAAAAGCCCGATTAACACCCCCGTGCATAACATTTTTCAAAGGGGGAGGGGGGGGGGTTTAAATAAAGATCAAGTCGTAGTGAAAATGATTCTCTTTTTATTCTTTCTTCAAATGAAGTATCCTGGTTGTACTATCTACCGGGAGTGTAAGCCTTATTTGGCCCACGGTCATATAATACAAAAAAAATCTAATATAAAATAGTTATTTTCTGTAGGAGGTACCATTTTTTGATGAAAATAACAAATATCTAAAAGAAATTTTAACTATACATCAAAAAGATAGTTCTGTTAATAACCTCATATGAGTGGCAGCCATTTTTGTTTTTAAGTACTTAATACCAGGAATGACTTTTAAGCAATCAATAAAAGTTAAAAACATATGTAAATGGACATGCTGTTAATGATACTAAAGTTCTATTCAATATTTATCAGTTATCACACAGTAAAAGGGTAATAATTTGATAAGCATTTGCACACACATTCAAAATATCATGATGGGTCCAAATTGTTAGCAATATTACTGGTTTTTATACGTAAAACACATTTATGTGAATAGGGTTATTAAAACTTTGAATTTTCTTCAAAAAATGCTATATTTTGTATGAAATTAATGTGAAAAACACTTGCATACAAAAGAATTTTTTTTATGTAAGTATTGTTTGTAATATCTGGACATTCCCGGTACAAAGTACCTCCCGGTATAAAGTACCTTGAGGATAAAAAAATCCACGCAAGTCTTGTTAAAACACATCATCATCCTGTCACCCCTGACACCTTTGATCTCCACCGCGAGCTCTCAAATTTTCCTCTCAAAAATTCCACAAGATTACATGTAGTTGACACCTTTGATCTTGCCGACAATCTGATGTCATTGATGCTACTTTCCTTATTTATTTTATGTGGCAACACGCCCCACTTCCAAATTTGTGAAGTTGTCCATGTGCAATGCTGTATTGGTAGTGTGTGTTACCGTTTTGTGTTTCTTTAACAGTTTAGTTTATTACAAGTAGGCATTTTAGTATCTAACAACAGCATATAATAAATTGGCGAATCTGTTGCGACATTTCCATTCTCAATGAATATGTATCTACTTCTACTGTATATGTAACTTGACTAAGTATATATTTTTGATGATATTTCATTAAATAATATATTTATATTTCCAGCAAGAAGCAGATCTCGGCCAATAATTTTGTAATGCACGAGATGCATTGTAAACGCCACATTTCATTGTGCGAGCAATGTAATGAACCTATTCCAAAAAATGAAATGGAAGTACATTATGAAGAAAATCATGCCAAGATCAAATGTCCTAAATGTGAAACAGAAGTTGAGAAAATGCATTTAGAGGAACACGAGGTATAATATCATTTTAAGTTTGTCTATGTGAATGTTAAGCTACATTTATTACAATTGCTACACATGTCGTTGTTGTCATGGTAATGCTTAAACTTTAATGTAGCCAATTAATCAAATATTTTAATAGGTATCAATATGAAACATGGAATACTTGCTTATCATGACAAGGCACAGTTTTGAGACATTTGGCATTATTCTGAAAGCTATTTTTTTTGAGTTATGCCCTCTTTTTACAATAGAACTTTTGTCAAAATTGCTTATTATGTAGAACAATTTCAAAACAAAGAAATGCACATGAAAGGGGAGACAGTTGCCCATCATAACAAGGTACAGATGTGAGACAAGGCTAAGACAAGACTATACATGTATCTCTGAAGTAGTATTTTTAGGAGTTATGCCCCAGGAAAAAATGTTATTTAAGTAGAATGATTTCCACAGTATGAAAGGTATCTAAATGAAACTTGGAGTACATGTTAATCATAACAAGGCACAGTTGCAAGACAAGAGCATTATTCTGAAAGCTTTTTTAACTAAGATTTTTATGCCACCGCAGCATCTGCGATGCGGTGGCATATAGCGATTCACCTGTGTGTGTTTGTGTGTGTGTTTGTGTGTGTGTTATATAGATTATATAGTGAACTTAAAAAATCTTCTTGTGAAAAACCACTAGTCCAATTTCAACCAAACTTGGCAGGATTGTTCCTTTGGTGAAGGGCTTCCAAAGTTGTTCAAAGAATTTCATTCCATGCAGAAATCTGGTTGCCATGGCAACCAAAAGGAATTATAAGAATTAATTAAAAAAATCTTCTTGTAAAGACCCAAAAGGCCTAGAGCTTAGATATTTTGCATAAGGCATTGTCTGGTAGACCTCTAACAAGATTGTTCAAATTAAAGCCCTGGGGTCAAAATTGGCCCCGCCCCGAGGGTCATTGATTTTCACAATGTACATATAGTAAAAACTTAAAATACCTTCTTGTAAAAACCCAAAAGGCCTAGAGCTTAGATATTTTGCATAAGGCATCTTCTGGTAGACCCTTACCAAGATTGTTCAAATTATAGCCCTTGGGTCAAAATCGGCCCCGCCCCGGGGTCATTGATTTTCACTATATGTACATATTAAACTTAAAACACCTTCTTGTAAAGACCCAAAAGGCCTAGAGCTTATATATTTTGCGTAAGGCATTGCCTGGTATACCTCTACCCAGATTGTTCAAATTATAGCCCTGGGGTCAAAATCAGCCCCGCCCCGGGGGTCATTGGTTTTCCTTTTATGTATATAGTAAAAACTTTTAGTAAAAACTTCAAAAACAATTCTTCTAGCAATTGACAAATGCTAGAGGTTAGATATTTTGCATGAAACATTGTGTAGTAAACCTCTAGCAAGATTGTTCAAATTATAGCCCTGGGGTCAAAATTGGCCCCGCCCCGAGGGTCATTGATTTCAATATATACATATAGTAAAAAAATAAATAAATCTTATTGTCTTAAGGTACAAGGCTAAGAGCTTTAATATTTGTTAAATTATATCATCTGAAGGTACTCAACAAAAGTTATTCAAAGTTTGCCTCTTGTGTCAAAATTAGCCCCGCCCCCTGGTGGCCATAGGTTTTCCGTATATGTATATAGTACAAACTTAAAAAATCATCTTCTCTAAATTTACAAAGGCTAGAGTTAAGATATTTTGCATGAAACATTGTGTAGTGAACCTCTGGCAAGATTGTTCCAATTATAGCCCTGGGGTCAATATTGGTTCCGCCCCGGGGGTCATTGATTTTCATTATGTACATAATAGTGAAAAAATAAAAAATATTTTTGTCTGAAGGTACAAGGCATAGAGCTTTGATGTATGATATATAATATTATTTATAGGTCCTCTACCAAAGTTGTTCAAAATTTTCCCCTGGTGTCAAAAATTGGCCCTGTCTGGGGGCAGTGATTCTCATTATGTACACATAGTAAAAACAGAAAATAAAACAAATGTTTTCTGAATGGGAGAAAGCTATAGCTTAGATATTTGACTTGAAATGTTGTTTGGTGGACCTGTATCAAAATTGTTTTAAATTAAACCCTTGGGTCAAAATTATGCCTTGCCCAAGGGGACAGTGACCTACTTTCTTGTCCTTTAATGTACAGCAATGACATTTTGACCATGTGCACAGTTTTAGTTGTAAAATTGAACTTTGATATCAGGTGACCTAGATTTTGATGATGTGACCTACTTTCTTGTCCTTTGGTGTACAGCTATGAAATTTGAACCATGCGGTGGCATAGCATTTTTCTCAAATGCAATCTTGTTTATTTATTTTTTTGTCAGAAATGGTTATTGATAGTTACCCTTAAGATAACAGATGAGATAATGGTCTTGTTTTCTTAAGTAACTGAATGTTTAATATGATTCATAAATCAGAAAACTCTAGAAGACACAATCACTGAGGGTCTTTACAAATTTTTAGAGGAAAAGGCCCAGGCTTAATTTTTGAAAAATTATACAGCATTTTTGGAAAATTGAGAAATTTTTTAAAGTTGAAAAATTACCTACATGTAATTCCTAACTTTTAAACTTTATTTTATGTATATGATGCTGTTTTTGAAAAGGCGATGGGGGGATGTTTTAAGTATAATGGATTCATTGTTCTCAATGCTTTTAAACAATATTTTAGTTTAAAACATGTGTTGTAAATTCACATTTTTTTATATACTTATAACTAAGGTATAATTGAATGTTCCTTTGCAAAATTTGCAACCTACCGGTATGTTAAAATAAAAAATGATAAACCATTTATTTGTTTCAGGAAAATTCCTGCTCAAAGAAACCTATGCACTGTGTGTATTGTGAACTGGAATTTCCAAAAGATAAATTAGACTCACATTTGGATTATTGCGGGAGTCGTACTGAGCCGTGCCCTAAATGTGGCCAATTTATTATGCTGAAAGAACAGACTAAACATGATGACAGTAACTGTGCTTATCCTGAAGTAAAACCTAAAAATAATAATGTGGCTGACGGGCACAGAAGGCCTGATGATTTCTTAGATGATATATTTAGAAGTAGGGGAGTTAACTCCGGAGGTAGAAGCATGGGAGTTAACTCTGGAGGGCATGATTTTGGCGGATTTGTAGATAATTCATTTGGTGCTGACTATATAGGTTCTAGGAGGCAGGCCAATGTTCGCCATACTTCAAAGGTTAACAATAAAAAACCAGCAGTTGATAAACAATTAGGTAAGACTTGGTGTTTAAAAAGGAAAGAATTTAATTATGAGGCCAGACTTTGTGCTTAAAATCATTTCCTTATGTAAGAAGTGTTTCAATTTGAATTGTGTAAAACACAAAAAAATGGTTCCTAATATTTCCTTAATAAAATTAAATAATTATGTAGTAGCATGGCCGAGCGGTTAACTCTTCATATGAGCAATAAAAAAGGATCTCTAGCTGTGTGGGTTCAAATGCTATCGGGGGCAAGCCATTATTTCCTTTAGCAAGAAATTTTACACTAAATTAATTGCTCAGTACTGGTTTGTTACTGGAATGATCTATAAGCTTATAACTTTCTACACAACTTAGAAAAATTCTCCAAATAAGAAGAAAATGTAGCAGTAAAACACATCAACACCAGAACTGGTTAAGGTTATTTATTCTGTACCTTTTTGGTTTTATTAAGCCCTCATCAAAAAATTCTGTATAAACTTGATAATTACACTATAGGTTCTGCAGACAGAGAGTCCGAGTATGATAGGTTACTGGCTATGCACCTGGCAAAGGATCTTCATCAAGACAATAGCATGGAGGAGATGGTTAGAGAATTTAACAAACCACAATCCCCTACCGTCCCTAGCTCACAGGTCAAATATGGACGGAACTCTCTGTCAGAAGGTAAAAATATTGAGTAAAAATAACAATATGTTTGGTTTTTTATTGAAATTATATATAAACTTAGATTTTATTGGATGTAAAACTTACCTGAATTTTTAAATTTGTTTGCTAGGAGATTAAGTATAAGAATATATTTGAGTTGTCTGGCAGAGGGGTCAAAGTTCCTGATTTTAGATCACTTGCCCCTCGAGGCTGTGAGAGTGACATTAAATCTCAAAGTATCCTGTGTGTTATTTTATGCAAGGAAGCTTACATAAGGCATGTGGCTCTGCTATGATACCTATGATTTTTATGATATTTGTGATTAAAATAACACATGGAGGTGCACCTGAAGTCTTCCTGAGCCAGTAATGTTGGGGAGCCTCATTATGATACTAACACATAGAGGGGAACCTGAGATCTTCCTCCATATACATGTCTGTGAGATTTAAAATCAAACTAAAGTGGAAAGAAATTGATATGAGAGAATAATATCATGCAAGTAAACAATGTTGAATCACTTTACATTGAACAACATTGTAATACAATGCTGGAAATATAACTAAAGCTGACACAAGGATAGAACCTGATCAGTCTACACATCAGTACAGTACATTCTGACTGTACTAAATTATGATATCCCTAAAATTGATAACGGATAATGGATAATGGACTGTTTTAAAACTGAGATTGAACAAGTTCATTCTGGAAAATAAGCAATTACAAACATATGAATATATTCCAAACATTTTTGCAACTTAAACAAGTCTCAAGTTGGGCTGTTGCTTAATACAAAATGTAATGTGTACACCATTTTTCTATGAAATTGTAATTGTACATGTAATATATATACAAATGTACATGTGCATGTGTGTGAGTGTGTGTGTGTGCATATCACTTTCATTATGGACACAAATGTGCATTTTCAACCTTCAGTGTGGACACATTTTGCACTGTGGACATTTAACCACAATGATCTCACATCCAGACAAGACTGTGCGTGTGTTAATCAACTGTTTCTATTTATAGATCTGGTGATGATACCGTGTGAGTTTTGTGGTGAACCATTTGATGCAGATGACCTCGTTCAACATCAGGTCTGAATTTTTATGTGTTGAATATTTTCTAACTCATGATTATGAATTAACCTTATTCTAATCTATCTTTGAATACATTAATGACAATTAACTAAAACAAAGTTATCTTTTTCCTGGCAAACTAACTTCTGTTCGAGGCACATTGATTTGGACATGATAGCATTTAGCAAGAGTCTAGTTTGACTTGACCTTTCCCCTCGCTTTGTTGAAATCAAAGGTGATAAAACATTGCCACCAGTATAGAGCTACAAATGTAGGCCAACTTACACATCAATGCAGTCTGACCAGGCTCTACACTGTTGACCAGTTTAAAAATTTCATTCTTATATCTCCAAACAGTATTTCAGTAAGTGGAAGTTCGAGAGTTATTTACTCCATGAATTTGGCTTGTGACTTCCAAAATTTAATGCTTTTCTTTTTCTACCTTTATAATGTGACTTCCAGTAGTCGCTGACTTCCTAATTTTGGAACTTAATGGAAGCCCTGTCCAAAGTTCCAAATATGTTAACTGTCCTTCAGGTTATAAAACTTTTTTTCTGAGTTCTTTTCAAATCTCAAGATTTTCAGTTTCTGACAAATCAAATACCTGAGATCTGAAGTTAAGTTTACAGAATTTTTTATATAACCTTGAACCAAGTACATCTAAGAAATTGGCATGTTAAGGGTGATAATCATTAGAATTATTGTAAAACCTATACTTTAATTATAGAGCGGCTGTTCGTTGGAGCGTATAAGTGCCATGTTACCACAGATGACAACAGCCAACAATGTTAGAGACGTGCCCAACAGTCAGACAAACACCGTACAACCTCCCAGTATCATCAACAACCTACAGGCTTATGGTGCTGACGAATGGTAACTTAGCAACTTTATAAACTAAATACAGAATTTCAGAATATCAGGCTTTGAGCTTAGCTTTCTTTTTATATTTTTTTTTGTTCATTACAATTAAAAAGATTTCTGACTTGAGCTGTTATATTTACAAACATATACATATCATAGTATAAACCAGACTTTTTGTATTGTTACAATTTAATCAAACTTCCTTCTATAGGCACAGAAATTGCTGATACTTGTCTACACTGACTCATCTGACTTAAATAATTTTGTTTGTTTGATTTGGTTTTACATCACACTGACACAGCGTAGGTAATATGGCGACGTTCCAGCTTTACTGGTGGAGATAAACCTCCGGTGCCCTTCCGTGCATTAAATCAGAGTAGAACCATCAACGTTCCGTTAGCTTGCTGGATAGCTTCCTCACATGAAAGAATCAAAAGTCCCTGTCGAGATTTAAACCCACATCGGTGAGGGGCAAGAAGTCAAAGACCTTAACCACTCAGCCACAAATGACCCAATTAATTTTATTTCCTTCCTTATATTGATAGATTTTTACATGCTTCAAATAATCATCTCCTCTTTCACTAACATTCATTTTCACAATTCTCATTGACAGATTTCGCATTATTCAAATTTTTGTTATCTCCCTTACACTTACAGATTGATACAATTCAAATTTTAATTAACTTCTTTACTACACTCACATTCTAATTTTCTCCCCTTTATCTTGCAGATTTAACATGATCTAAATTTTCATTATCTCCCTTACACTGACATTCAAAATTTTCATGATCTTTCTTGCACTAGCTCCTGTTAGCTTTTCATTAAACACTTATTTTGAAATTTTCCCTAAAAATGATTAATGATTTAGTCCAGTTTTAAAAATGAACAAGTTCATCTAGATATTTAGCATAGGAAAGGTTAGGAAAAGCAAAATATGAATAAATAATCTACATGTATTCTAAGAAAGGTTCATCAGTGAAAATGTAGAAAAATAATACACACACTCAACTGTACATTATATGATTTATTGGATAATAAAGTGTCCAATACAGGAAATATATCATATTGTATTTGAATTCCTAAGCACCAATTGGATGTAAATGATAAGTATTGAATAATTTACATTACTATACTATATACATAATATTAACAATTTATTGATGTTTCAGTAATTTTGAAATTAAACATGTATTTATAGGCTGGACGATACTGCTGAAACAGGGTATGATATCCCACCTGAACAAGGCTTTGATATACCGCCTGAACGAGGCTTTAATATGCCAGCTGGAACAGGCTTTAATATGCCAGCTGGAACAGGTTTTGATATGCCAGCTGGAACAGGTTTTGATGTACTAGCTGGAGGTGCGGGAGACGACCAGTTTCTGCCTTGTGAATTCTGCAATGAGCTTTTCCCATTAGACAATCTTATACAGCATCAGGTCAGCTTTTGATTTCTGTTTATATTTTGAAAAAATTCAGGTCATGGAGTTTATATTTGTTCTTGTCCTTTTTATATGCCCGAAAGAATTTCGGGCATATTATGTTATACCCCCTGGCGTCCGTCCGTCCGTCCGTCCGTTAGCAATTTGGTTTCCGGAGCATAACTTAAGTTCCATTTGGCCCACAGTATTCAAACTTCATAGGATGATTGTCCATATTGGGTAGAATACCCCTATTGATTTTGGGGTCACAAGGTCAAAGGTCAAGGTCACTATGACCTTAAAACTGAAAACAGTTTCCGGAGCATAACTTAAGTTCCATTTGGCCCACAGTGTTCAAACTTCATAGGATGATTGTCCATATTAGGTAGAAGACCCCTATTGATTTTGGGGTCACAAGGTCAAAGGTCAAGGTCACTATGACCTTAAAACTGAAAACAGTTTCCGGAGCATAACTTAAGTTCCATTTGGCCCACAGTGTTCAAACTTCATAGGATGATTGTCCATATTGGGTGGAAGACCCCTATTGATTTTGGGGTCAAAGGTCAAGGTCACTATGACCTTAAAACTGAAAACAGTTTCCGGAGGATAACTTAAGTTCCATTTGGCCCACAGTGTTCAAACTTCATAGGATGATTGTCCATATTGGGTTGAAGACCCCTATTGATTTTGGGGTCACAAGGTCAAAGGTCAAGGTCACTATTTCTTAGAAATTGAAAACAGTTTCTTTAGCATAACTTAAGTTCAATTTGGCCCACAATATTCAAACTTCATGGGATGATTGTCCATATTAGGTAAAAGACTCCTATTGATTTTGGGGTCACAAGGTCAAAGGTCAAGGTCACTATGACCTTAAAACTGAAAACAGTTGTCGGAACATAACTTAAGTTTCATTTGGCCCACTGTGTTTAAACTTCGTAGTATGATTGTCCATATTGGGTAGAAGACCCCTAATGATTTTGGGGTCACAAGGTCAAAGGTCAAGGTCACTATTACCTTAGAACTGAAAACAGTTTCCGGGGCATGACTTAAGTTCCATTTGGACCACAATATTGAAACTTAAAAGGAGGATTGTTTTGTGAAGGAGGTAAAACTTTATTTAATTCCCATGTCTTAGAAATGTTTCATCTTTACTAAAAAAAAAAATCATTTTCGGGCATATAATGCTCCGCCTAGCGGTGCTCTTGTTTAGGCAAAGTAATAGTACAATTTACAGTACAATCTCCACATAGCAACATCATTTCAGAGACAAAGATTTAAGTTGTTGCTGTGATGTGTAGCCCTAGCAAGGATAAATTTTTTGTGAATATCTGGATAAATAGTGATCCCTCAGAAGCATCAAAATCAGCATAATAACATGGAAAATGCAGACTTGGGTTGAATGAGTCTGTACATGAGGGATAATAACATAGTGCAACATCTCTCGTGTCCACTAGCACTGGCTTGATTATTTAGGTTTGCATTATACTCAGTTGTTGCTATGGTCTTATCATTTGGCATGAGACAAAATATTATGATATTTAAAACTTCAATAAGGATCTTACCGCTTTTGAAGAACTCTGTTTTCAAGCCATCAGGAGCAAAAATATCATCTTCCAAACTGTATACATGTACTTTTGATTTAAATTATGTATTGTTTCAATTTGTGGTCTGCTTCAATAATTTTGTCATTTCCAACCATGCAGCCAATTCAAGTAAAGTTTAGTTTAAATGTATTTATTTTCAGACAAAAGAAAAACAAAAGCCTTGTTGATATATTTAAATTTTGTCTGGTACATATTTGAAAAATAGGGTTATACTAGCAATTATTGTAAGTTAAGATCTAGTATATTGTTTACTATTATAACTCTGATCAACCAAATCACTTTCAGGCCATGTGTGACAGAATGACAATGACTCCCTTGCCACAGACTCCGCCACATGAACAACGTCCAAAACCTAAAAAGAAAAATTCTCAATCAAGTGCTCAAAGATTAGCTGCGGACTTTCCTAACCTGAATTCCAAACGTCATCAGCCTCCTCCTTCCCTCTTTAGTTCACAAGTCGATAGTGACGAAGAGGCGCCAAACGGGGCTGCTCATAGGGTGCATAAACCGAAACCGTCATCTGTAAACGGTACTTATAAATCTAATATCACTTCTCCTGCCAGGGAAACAAGATCAACGTTAAAGAAATATGGGGTAGAAACTCCGGACAGGGGAGATTACTACACTGGTAGAAGTTCTTTTTCCCGACAGAGTAGCGAGTCAGGGACAGATTCCTGGCTTGAACCGAGTCAGCCTCGCGTCCAGAGGAAATATGCAACTGGAAATACCAGGACAAGGAGTACGTTGGATAATCTCTTAAATGATAATACGGAATCATCATCACATGACCTTTTAGGTCATATAGGTGGCGCTCCGGCTAGGAGAAAAGAGGCGAGGCCTATTCCCAGACAGAAACCAACAGTGACACCAGGAAACACTAGAAGTATAAATTTTACTTTAGTCTAAGTACAGATTTTCTTTTAACTGACACTCAGATTATTTATGTGACATTTTTGACTGAGCAATTTGTGTAATTTCTGAGTTTTAAGTAAATATAATTGCACATACTATTTGAATATGACTACATTTAAGATTTATGTATAAATTGTATTAAGATGTAAGTATTTGAAAAAGTTTGTCATTGTGATATACAAGTAGATGTTATACTGTACGGTGACTATGCAAAAAAAAAAATTAAAATACTGAGGAAACTTGCATAGTTAAGTATGTTTACCTATAAATTGTTTGTTAAACTTTGCTTTGTAGTTTATTATGAGCCATTTCCTTATGTGGGAAGGTATTTTAGTTCCAGATAGAAAAAATGCAATCTCATTAAAATCATATCCTAACTGTTGCTTCACTACCCTACACTCTTAGATAAGAGTAACGGAGCGAAATAGATTATCTGATTTTAATGAGATTGAAAAGAATGTAAAAGAAATTATCGAATGTAGTGGCATGTCGCTTAACATGGGAAGTTTAACTGCCTGCTTGGTCATACGGAAAGTTAGCCCTGATTTTACAGATATTAATTTCTAAACCAGGGGGATTCCATTTTACTTTTTGTTGTCTAAACTGTTTTAAATGATTTTAAAGGTACAGCAAAGGTGAGGAGTAACACAACAGCGAAAGATGTACAAAAAGAATTGTCAAGATTCACTGCCAGTAATGCTTCCAGTGGTGCTGCTCAAAATAGGTCAGTCTGCTACTTAGATGAATAAAATGTCAGAATGAAATTTAGATAAATAAATGTTTTCGTGGTTATGACAAAACGGTGACGATTAAAATCAATTCCCCCCTCCCCTCCCAAACCAAAAAGAAAAAAAAAATGTTTTTTTTGCTAATTCTTAAAATTTTCATTCATTATTGTATATAAATTGGTGTGAAGAGTTGAATTAGGTGTGCTAAAGTTCATTCCGTTTGGTGAAAAGGGGAGATTTTAGCATTTAATCATTCAAGGGCCTTGTCCAGTACATACCATACAACGGTATGTAGCAATGTGCTCCAACACTTTTCTAGTCTCACTCACCAAAAAAAGAAAAAAGAAAACTTTCAAATGTTTCTACAATAAGTTGCAAAATTTGGAATTCATGCTTAATACTTATTTATTTTGTTGTTATCATGTTAGCAAAATACATTATGAATAGGTAGTATCATGAGTAAATTGTAATGTAGGAAAGTTTTATAACATTGGCTGTGTGTACTTCTCTTGTTTCAAAATTCAAAATTTTATCAGTTCATGTTAAATGTTGAATTCTGCCTAAGCCTGTGCTAAGGGGTGTGAACGGTAACATGCATTTGCCAGTACCGTTTATGAACAGGCTCAATCAAATCGAGCCTGCAACATTTTCAATTTTGACGTGTTGGGCTTTTTATGCCCCCACAAAGTGGGAGCATATAGTGTTGCACTTGTCCTTCCGTCAGTCCGTCTGTCTGTCCGTACGTCCCGAAATCTTGTGAACGCAAGTCCTCTTAAACCGGATGGCAGATTTTGCTTAAACTCTCAGGGATGAACAACCTTAATGTGTAAATGGTAGTAAAGGAAGGCATTTTCGCTGCGATCAAATTTAACAGAATTATGGCCCTTTGTTGATTTTTTCACTATCAACTATGTAGAAATTTTGTGAATACAACTCCTCTTAAACCGGATGGCAGATTTTGCTTAAACTTCCAGGGATGAACAACCTTAATATGTAGATGGTAGTAAAAGAAGGAATTTTCGCTGCAACGAAATTTAACAGAATTATGGCCCTTTGTTGATTTTTTCACTATCTACTATGTAGAAATTTTGTGAATGCAACTCCTCTTAAACCGGATGGCAGATTTTGCTTAAACTTCCAGGGATGAACAACCTTAATGTGTAGATGGTAGTAAAAGAAGGAATTTTCGCTGCGACGAAATTTTACAGAATTATGGCCCTTTGTTGATTTTTTCACTATATACTATGTAGAAATTTTGTGAACGCAACTCCTCTTAAACCGGATGGCAGATTTTGACCTAGAGTCATAAGATTGACAGAACAGTGGCGTGTGGGGGCATCCGTGTTCTATGGACACATTATTTTCTAAGTTGTCTCTTTTTTAGATATAAAATATTGCTTGATTAACTTTACCAGCTTAATTTATCACAAAATATTTTATCTTTTTTCCAGGTCTAGCAAGCCTAATATTGAGGTACGTGTCCGTCCGAACGAAGCTGATGAATTATCTGACCTAGTTACCGGATCGAGGCAACGTACTCGTGCCAACAACGTTTTCGGCGCACAAACCAATAAGACTTCAACAGTAAGTTTAAACAAAAATTAAAATACTATGTAAATTTTTTAAAACAATATGTCTTCAAACTCATTATTAAAGGTTTTTAGTTGTTTGGAATTTTTTTAAAGAAAGGTGTTTGCTGCCATAATGTTAATTTTTGTAAGATTTTTGCTACTGAAGAAGATACATAAGTGTGAGTGTTCTTTTTATTTCACAAATTAATCACTATTTATTTTTTTTTTTTTCAGAAACGGAGAACAGACAATAGATAATGAAACCACAACATTCCATAAGAATAAACACCTGTGATAATTGCCATTTAGTGTCCCGATACCTTTTTTAAGTGTGATAATACTTCACTTTAAGTGTCTTAAATCAATATGTATACATGTATAAACTATATTAATTTTTTGCAAGGCAACAGAGTACAGTATTTTTTACTCCTGGTATATGTATAAGAAACAATAAAGTGATTGATATATATATTAAGAATAACAAGGTCTATGCAAGTCTAGGGTAGAATAATTTAAAGGTTTAGACTCCATAAATTATGTGATAACTAGTAATAAAGGCATGGTATTAAAACAGTGTACATGATTTACTGTGTTTATCTGTTGTACAAATTTTGTTTCGTATCATAAGATTTTTGTAAAAAAAATGCTTTCTTTATATTAAAGTTTGCCAAGAGTTCACCAGAGGAAATGATAACGTTTTGCCCCATATTGATTCTCTTACATTAGGGGTGATTTGCCCTAGGATATTGTCAACTTGTCACTCTTTGAAATAATCTAATCTTGTTTTAAATCATTTAACAATAATAAATGCTTACATTTAATGTATGTTTTGGTGTTATTTTATTTTTGAAAAAAAAAACTTTAATATACGGGGCAAATTCTCATTAAAGTGGGGTAAATCTATATAGAGGGAATTGTCAGTGTGAGAGATTGTTACATAATCTGCCAGTTGCATTCATTAGAGTTAAGATTTATTTTACATTGTATATTTTGTCTACTGTGCGCCATTCCTTAAGTGTCAGAAAAATGCATTTTACAATGTCAAGAATGTATGCCATATTTTATATTGTTGTGAAAAAAAAATATCCTAAGTAATTAACTAGATAAATGTTATGTATTTTTAAATTTTCATTTCCACACTATTTTATGTTAAATTTTAATCACTATTCATCCCACATTCATTTGACCTTGAACCTGCTTGAAAGTGATCAGCTTTTGCCACAAGGATAAAACTAGGCCAGCACATTAAACTGTTGTTAAGCTGAATATATATGCGTCATGTGTCACGATAAAACCAACATTATGGGTTTGCGACCAGCATGGATCCAGACCAGCCTGCTCATCCGCTCAGTCTGATCAGGATCCATGCAGTTCGCTTACAACTCTATAACAAGGAGGGAAACTGATAGCGAGCAGCATGAATCCTGATCAGACTGCGCGGACGCGCAGACTGGTCTGGATACATGCTGGTCGCAAACCCATTATGTTGGTTTTGTCATGGCGCTGCTCATAAGTGTTTTGATATTGGAATCCTTTGTGCTTTGAATACATTGTTTCTAATTCAAAATTTGGTAACTCCATTGCACAAATTTTATCAGGTTAAAGTATACAAATACATTTATCAAGTCATCAACTTCAACAAGTATTTTTATTATTTTGTCAACAATTCTAATAAACTGCTGAATTAAAAAAAATCAATGAAATTTCAATCAAGTATGCTATTTTCATGTTGCACAGAGTCATACAGTTCTTAAAGGGACATGATGAGGTTTTTTGACAAGAAAAGACTGATAAGATTTTTGCATTACTGTATGTAGGTCAGGACCAATAATTTGTGTGTGCAAAATTTCAGATCATTTACTCACTCTGATTCCCAGGGATAACCAATTTTATTGCGCAAATTGACCCCAAAATTTAATGCTTTTTACTCAATTTGGCAAAAAAAGCATAAAAATCAATTTAGTTCTGAGAATATTTACATCATCTATTGCATAGTTTTCCATTTAAAGTGCATCAGTTGATTTATTAAAGAATTTCAAATTTTATGATTTTAGGCTATTAGACCTCAGTGGAGTTCCTTTAAGTATAATACCAAAATGTTACTAAAAATAGTACTTGGTATCTTAATCTGAGACTTGTACACTGGTACATTTGGCACGGCCAGCATTTCATGAGATGCTGGTGTAGCCATTTTGTCTGGACGTAGCCAAAAGCAAAAATCAGATCAAGGAAGTTTTTCAACATGGTCGTTCACTTCAGCATGAAAGACCCCTCTTACAATTTTCTTTTAATTGAATCCTTCGTTATACTGCAAACACTTTTTTGTTTGCATTATCCTAAATTACAAAGCACAAAGTAGCCGAAGTCAGTCATCTTGTTTCAGCGCATAAAAAGACTAGATCATCTATTTTCCATCTAAACTTCTATGTAGCACATTAACTGTAGCATCTTTACATTTATGTTATTTGTTAGTGAATACTTTGTTTAAGTTTTGTTTACATTCCCTTGTTTTGAGTTATTGCATTTTAAGTACCATTAATTTCTGTTAAGAATAGTAAGTTAAAAATGAAAACTGTTATATGTGATTCAAAACCTGAACATCAAGGTTTATTATTGTCATTGTTTATTATTTTGACTAGTTTTGTGTTAAGAGAATTTCAACAGTTTGGTGTTAAAGGGGTGTAACTTCTTTATGTAATTTGAGTTACAACCCTTTTGCACCAAGCCCTCAATTTTCATGATAACTTGATAAGCTTTTGTATGTGTCATAAATGTTAAGGGTTCAATGTCTTGGGTTTAGGTGTTTGATTTTCTTATGCAATCATACTGATACTGTTAAAATGGAGTGTAGTGTCTGTATAAGATGTTTTTAAATTAACTATGTTTATATATGTGTTTTTAGATGCTAGGACTGTGATTTTATTCTAAATGAAGACATTTTTTAAAGCAATACACCACCACTCTTTATTTCAATATTCGTGCATTTTTTTAAAGAAACAAACTCTTTATAACTGATACATGAACTTGTTGTATTCTGGAAACGTTGATAATTAGTGTCAATAGATAAGACACCTTTGATTAAAAAGAGTAGAATGATATAAATTGTATATTAAAATGGTCGTAAAAATTGGTTACGTCACATCAGGAGACTTACACTAAAACAATGATCTGAGCATCGCATATCCAGATAGTGAAGTTGGCTCCAAATGATATACCTAGTAAATACCTTGTTATTAATTTGGCTATTTGTGGCCAAATGGTTATGGTTCATGACTTTCATTTATGTACTTGCATCTTGTTGTTGATTCGAATCACTCTACGAACTTTTGAGTTTTTTTCGTCCTCATGCGGAAACTAATCAGCTAGCTTATTTAGAGTGTTAGTAGTTGTACTTGTGTGTCTGTTCATGCTAAACCTTTACCATGCTGCTATTGACTGGATCAACCAGTGTGAACAGTGCAGACCAAAATCAACTGGTACATCCATGCCATTTGATCATGGTCTGCACTGTCCACAATTCAGCCAGTAGTTACCTGAAAATCATGTACAATTTTGTCCATATTAGAAGCTGGACAACTCCATGTAAGGTATTTAGCGAGGTAAGGGTAAGACTTATTCAAAGACCTGGGGCATTTAAGGTCTTTCTGTACTGTGTTTAAAGTCACACTGATACTTTAAAGGTCATATCATCGCCGTAGTGCAGTAATGGGTTTACTCCTATTAAAATTCAATAGGAATTAACCCATTACTGCACTAAGGTGATGATATGGTGGTCTTTCTTAACAAGTAATGCTAAAATACCCCTGTGTGGTGTTTTATTACAATGATACCGTTGTATGACTGAGTCCAAAAGCCCCTGAAATAATGATGGTCATTTCAAGGGTCAAATCATCATATTAAATGAGTGCTTTAGTGCTTTTAGACTTTCAAATTATTCAGCGTTAATCTTGATTTTTTTTTATGAGTTTTGTTTATGAAAACAATTCCAGGTAAATGGTGCAAGAATGATAATTTATATATGATTTATGAATATGTGAGACACTTTAAATTGTTGAAATTTATGTTTTACAAATATGCTGTACATGTACTGTACTTCATTTCTGAAAAACCATGTAGGCCTTTTTGCTTGTTTATGTTACGCCTAATTATAAAATGATTTGAAATAAAATCTGTCTTAAAAAAGATTGAATAAAAGTTTTTTTGTGTACATTCACCTGAGTAGCTGACTCTGCTCTCTGTGCTATTTTTGGCCGTAGTAAAAATATTTTGTTGCCATACCAACAAAAAAAAAGTACAATATTGAAATACTCTTATTTATATAAATTGAGTGGCTGTCAAGCATTCAAGTACACATATGTTATTTTTTATAAAATAGAGATATAAACTGGAAACAACAAAAAATCTAAACCTGCTGGAGCTAAAAAGGGATTACCATAAGTAGGACATCAGCGTAGTTCCCACCAGCCCTGCACAGTGAAATCTATTAATATAGAAATTCAGCAAATTAAAGGGAGAAAACCCAATCACAAAGTTGTATTGTACAATAAAGAAATACACTGAAATACACAAACCATTGTTAATATATTGAATTTTTAGATAAAAATGATGGCATTGAACACAACCAACAGTATAGATATCTGGAATAAAGTGACTCCTAGGAAGCATTAAAATCAGCAAATTTACATGAAAATTGAAGACTTGGTTTTATTGAGTCTGTACATGAGGGATAATGAAAAAGTGCAACATCCCTCACGCCCCCTAGCACCTAGAGCCTTGTCAGACTGTACAGATTAACTGACAAGTTAGAATCTGTATTAATGTTAAATGACCAATTAATTTTGCAATTTAGTTTATATAGAATTTATTATAGTTTGATTAAGTTCGAAGCTATCAGTTTATAAAAGCACTCTCAAATCCGTTCCTGAAACCAACCACTACTGAGCAGGGAGTGTAAAGTCTCTTGCTTAAGGAAACAGCGGCTAATGATTCTGACATACTTTGAACCTATAAGGCCAGCAAATTCTTTGATTACTAGTCCAATGCGTAAACCACTCAACAAGGGCAAGAGGATTATTATTAGTGTTGTGGTAAAGTCCTGTAACAATTACAATGTCAAGTTCTTAGAAACATAAAATAGCAACATCAGCATAAAAAACAAACAAAATTTGCATTTATTGTTAGTTTTATTACATCAATATCCTAGATTATATAGGATTATCTTGTATGTAGAAAAGATGTAACAATTATATAGAGTTAACATAAAGGTAGACAGTCTAACAGTCTGTAATGTATTTCTAGCTAAGAAATAACAAACTTGCCTATAACCAGTCTCGATTATACAGCAAAAAAAAATTTAATTAATAGAAAGTAATAATCTTGCACTTTGTAAAACCGTCACATATCATATTTATGAATAGATTATTAATAGTAGAATTTTAATTGGAATAAACAGAAATCTTATAATGTCAAGTTGGTATTATGGCAATGAATGAAGATTATATTTAGCAGTATAAAGTGAGATGATGTCGGATAAGACAAACTCCCAAACCCGGAAAAATGTTAATAAAATCATAATTTTCCCCAAACCCCCTAAAACCCCCTTTTTTGGGTTTTTATTTTAGAAATTTTCAGGGTGAAATTTACTTTAATTTTAAAGTTTGATTTATAAAAAGGCTCAGACCCGAAAGGGTATAATAAACTTTTGGGAATTTAACATACAGCCGCAGACAGGAGATATAATAAACCCAGTTATATAAGATACAGCCTCAGACAGGAGATATAATAAACCTGGTTATATTATAGGCTCAGACAGGAGATATAATAAACCTGGTAATAAAACATACAGGCTCAGACAGGAGATATAATAAACCCAGTTATATAAGATACAGCCTCAGACAGGAGATATAATAAACCTGGTAATATAATATACATACAGGTTCAGACAGGAGATATAATAAACCTGGTAATATAATATATATGCTCAGACAGGAGATATAATAAACCTGGTAATAAAACATACAGGCTCAGACAGGAGATATAATAAACCCAGTTATATAAGATACAGCCTCAGACAGGAGATATAGGCTCTGTGAGACAGGAGATATAATAAACCCAGTTATATAAGATACAGCCTCAGACAGAAGATATAATAAACCTGGTTATATTATAGGCTCAGACAGGGGATATAATAAACCTGGTAATAAAACATACAGGCTCAGATAAGAGGTTTCAAAAACCTGGTAATACATGTATTACATGCAGGCTCAGGCAGGAGATATAATAAATCTGGTAATATAACATATATGCTCAGACAGGAGATATAATAAACCTGGTAATATAACATACAGGCTCAGACAAGAGGTGTAATAAACCTGGTAATATAACATAGCTTCAGACAGGAGACATAATAAATCTGGTAATATAACATTGAGGCTCAGACAGGAGATAAAATAAACCTGGTAATATAATATACAGACTCAGACAGGAGATATAATAAACCTGGTAATATAACATACAGACTCAGACAGGTGATAAAATTAAACTGGTAATATAACATACAGACTCAGACAAGAGGTTTAATAAACCTGGCAATATAACATACAGGCTTAGGCAGAAGTAAAACATGGTAATAAATATAACATATATGTTCAGACAGGAGATATAATAAACCTGGTAATATAGTATACAGGCTCAAACAGGAGATATGATAAACCTGGTAATATCACATACAGACTCAAACAGGAGATATAATAAACCTGGTAATATAACATACAGACTCAGACAAGAGAAAAAATAAACCCTGTAATATAACATACAGACTCAGAATTGGTAGAGAGCTTGCCATAAGTGGAAGAGAGCTTGCCATAAGTGGTAAAGAGCTTGCCATAAGTTATAGGGAGCTTGCCATAAATGGTATAGAGAGCTTGCCATAAGTGGTAGAGAGCTTGCCATAAATGGTATAGAGAGCTTGCCATAAATGGAAGAGAGCTTGCCATATGTGGTAGAGAGCTTGCCATAAGTGGTAGAGAGCTTGCCATAAGTGGTAGAGAGCTTGCCATAAGTGGTAGAGAGCCTGCCATAAAAGGAAGAGAGCTTGCCATAAGTGGTAGAGAGCTTGCCATAAGTGGTAGAGAACTTTGCCATAAGTGATAGAGAGCTTGTCATAAGTAGTAGAGAGCTTGTCATAAGTGGTAGAAAGCTAATGCCATAAGTGGTAGAGAGCTTGCAAAAACAAATTTCCTCTTTCACTGTACTCTAATGTTGCAAATACATTGTACATGAATATCAATATAACTTTACAGCGTTAAAAATTAATAACTTGCTATTTTCCTATCATATTGATAAAGGAAAACATAAATTTACCATCTGTTCATCTAATTATCCTTGCTCATTTGCCATGCCGTAGACACAACAGATGTCACTAAATGTTTCTATAGAAATTTACATTTTATAGTTATAATGGCAATTATTTGAATGAATATTTAATGGGAGGGACACATCACACAGTATCCTGTGCATTGTTTTTTTTTTTCTCCATTCTGTTGAAATATACAAATGTTTAATGATATCTGTCATTTTTCATGTGTAATTGATAAACTGGAAATCCAATAAAGAGCAAGTAATTCATTCTGACTCTTACCTAGCTAAATGCATGTATCTTATATAAGATTCATCATTCTTTAAATCTGGACAAGGGCATTCATCATTTTTAGAGATTGAGAACAATTCAAAATCTGTACTGACTGAATAACAAACTGTGCAAACTTATAATGACCAGATCGCTTGGATGTGGCAGCTAATCTTGGTCTGCACTGGCTACATTATAGGTATATTCTGTAGCCACCATCAAGTAAATGGTTAAATTTAACTTGAATTCCGTTATTTGGTTTCAATTAGAACTTGTACTGTCCCTACTGTAACAAGCAAATTCGTTGAATTTATATCCCCCGCCGAGTACTGGTTATTATTAACACAACAACTGAAGACATAAGGCTTTATTTATATATTAATCATGGCATAAACAGTAATATTCTTTGAACTTGATAAATATTCAGGGCAATAACAGAGCCATAACTTTGTGTTAAATAGTAAAATCTGGAAATGCCAATGAGATGTATGCATACTACATAACTAATCAAGGGCCATAAATCTGAGTTATAAGTATCTGACTGGAACAAGGCGACTATATGCACATCTCCTCTTAGTATCCCATAAAGTTTCATTGAATTCCAGCCAGTAGTAGCAGAGAAGTAGCGAGGAAACAAATATTTTTCTATATGGATACTGCATAACTAATCAAGGGCCATAACTCTTAGTTAAAGTGTCTGACCGGAACAAGCTGACGATATGCGCATCTCCTCTTGGTATTGAAGGTTCCCATAAAGTTTCGTTGAATTCAAGCCAGTAGTTGCAGAGAAGTAGCGCGGAAACGATTTTTACTCCATATCCATATAGCATAACTAATCAAGGGCCATAACTCTGAGTTAAAGTGTCTGACCGGAACAAGCCGACGATATGCGCATCTCCTCTTGGTATTGAAAGTTCCCATA